TTCTCCCCACAGCCTTGGAAACAGAGTCAGGCAAGGGCCAGCGGCGGTCTTCACCTGCCCCAAAGCTCCCGCCTTCCCTCTGAATCCTCCTCTTGGGCATCGTCCAGAGTTGGCCTTCCAAGTCTGCTGAGAAAGGAAAATGCCATCAAGGAAGTGTGGCATTTGGAGAAAATAAATGTCCCAGAGACTTTGGCGCATAAAGTGGCAAATAGGGTTGCCTGAGACGTCTTTATGGGTCGACCCCAAGTTCTTTCTGATGGTTTTTGCTTTAAGGCAACCTTTGCTTGATTATAATCCAAATCACTCAAAACACTGGAGGAAAATTCCCATTTTCTTTTTGATCACACTCACTAAGTATTTGGCCTTGTGGAAAGCAGATAAACTTCCTCCAAAAAAATGAAGATAATGATTCAGATTGTGATCAGTCCTTGTAATAAATATAGTTCTTCTATATAGACAACTAGACTGGGGAAGCCCCTGGGTGCCTGAATGAGTTTCTTAAAGAATTTGACTCAATCAGCCAGTCATAAGCCCGGTAGGGGCTGGCCCAGAAGCAACATTTGGGCAGCCACTCCGTAGCTCCTTGAGTTGCTCTGGCTGACAGCAGGATGCAAGGGACTGCTTATCTCCCATAAAGCCAGCCAGGCGGTTGCAGGATTGCCTCTCCATCATTTCTGCTCTGCCCCCAGAGGTGGTGGGAGGGCATACTGTGGGTCCCTTCTAGCAAACAATTTGTTGCCATGCTTTCTCTCTGCCTGCCCCTGCCCCAAGGACTGTCTGTGTGCTCCTGACAACTGGCATCCTCCCATAAGGCACCAAAGGCCTGGCTGTTCCACTGGTATTCAGGCCAAGGGCTTACGGGAGCCTTGTTGGCTAAATGTTGCTTTTCCAGGTTGGGACTACTGTTTTAAGCTGGGATTTGGGGGGTTGGATTATGAAATTGTTCTTAAATCCACCCAGAGTTGCTGCTGTGGGACTGGCAGCCATAGAACGATGTTTGTGCAGTGCAGTGGCGCATGGCTGCAGAGGCAAAAGAAGCTCCTCTAATGCACAGACGTTGCCTGGACATGGCCATATTCTTTGGGGTTGGTGGGCTGGGGTACGTTTCATTGGCTCCCCTGACTGCCTGTTTCCCATAGTTATTTCTAGGACAGAAGGACAAGGGAGAGGATTCTGGACTCTCCTAGTCAAGTTTTCAGATTTATTCATGATATATATTTTCCATCTTTTTCTGTTTTAAGCATTGTTTATTTTTGTTTAATGAAGTGGAAAACATTAGCCAAAAAGATGATTGGCCGCTCTGACAGATATATTAAAGATTTGTTCGGTAATCATTAACATATACTTTTATCACATTGTTTATTTATTTACCTTTATCACATTGTTTATTTATTTGCTAATCCTATTGTTCATTTATATTTATAACTACATACTATATACGGTACTTATTTGTTTATGTATTTTCAGGAATTTCGTTTATTTATATAGCATTTTTCCAGAGTTCTATTTTTTTTTTTTTACTGATTTTTGTATCATGGTTTACTAAATATTCAATTTTAGAAAGACTATCAGGAATTCTTCTCTGTTTAACTATGAGAATTAGGTGGAAAGAAATGTTTTTTTTAATGTTATTTCATACTGTAAGCTTGGAATGGCAGAGTGAGAAAACTGAAAGCATCTGAACAGTTCTGGCTCCCTTCCCTGCAGGGGCGTTGGAGAGAACTGCTGGGCCCAGAAAAGTCCTTCCTTTTACAGGCCTTCTGTGATCTCATGGCTCTTCCAGTCCTCCTGCTAATATGCTTCCAATCCCAGAAATCTTCCTGGTTTCTAGACAATTCCTGGATGTTACCATGGTGATACATGACCTAATTAAAGTCACTGGAGTGGTACCCACATTTCCCCATCCAAACAACAAATTCACATTATCTCTCCAACATTCTTCCAGCCTATATAAAGAAGTCACAATCTGGGTCAGTGGTAAGAAATGGGAGGCATTTACTACCATCAGCCTGCACACACACACACACACACACACACACACACACACACCCTTTTCAAATAGACTAAGGGCGAAGAGGTCGCAACTAGTTTGAGGTTCATTTATCTTGCTTACATAGTTTACTATGCCTCCCCCCAATTTCTATCAGACGGCCTTACCATTCCCAAGGGTGCCCTCGTGACCTCTGGGGGATCTTTTGAGATAATTCCTCTCTGCGCAGCTCCACAGGACCTGTGATGACCCAGGGTGGGATACAAAATAGTCACAAAAACAGGTGAAGCCCCTTTTATTCCTTCACTTTGCTTCAAAGCTCCAAATATCCTTGACTGGAGACGGAAAAAAACGCCCCCACAAGCAGTTCCGAAAAGGAGGAAATGCCATTTAAACTAAAAATGCCTATAAATTATAAAGAGTAGGAACAACACCAACCACACTGAAGCAATTAAGGGAACCAGGCAAGTTAAGGGCTTGAAGAAGTCCACAGATATCGGAACACACACTGGGAAGGACAGCAAACTCAGAGAGGAACGACAGACTAGAGACATTTCCACGCTTTGTTTCCAGCACTGGCCCATACGCATGTCCGTCCTTTTAACTAGTTCTCACAGCTGCAGCCCGTGAAGGGAATCAGGGCCCTTTCCTCCCCTGTAGACCATGCCATTCACATCTCTCCCTTATCCTCTCCTCCCTGCGTGCCCTAGGATGGAGAGGGGATGGGCCTGGGTCTTCCTCTGACTGCCCAGCCTCCTCCACAACCTCCGGAGCCACACTTCCACTCCCTGTCAGTTGTTCCTCCTCTCCCTCAGAGTCAGTCTCCAACAGGGGCATGACAGTACCAATATGCTTAAAACAGAGATACATTTGTCTGTGTTGCCTGGTTAAAATCATGTTAAGGTATGCAGCTACCTCCATGAAATTTGAATGGTGTATTTATGGGAGCTTTCTAGTCATTGCACATTATTCTCCATGCAGAATAGAAATAAAGGATTGTGTTGTGTGTAGGATAATCTACCATAGAGATGAGCAGATCTGGCAATTTTGTTATTAAGATATTTAATTTAATGGCTGGAACAGGAAAGTGGATAATGGGCCAGAATATACAGTCGTAGTTGATTGGTTGGAGAGTGCAGACTCTTGCATGAGGCAATCTAAGTTATGATTGGACGCTGGGTGTAAAGGGGGAGTTTCCCCCTTTTCCCGCCTTTTTCTTTTTCTGTGTGTTCTCTCTAGGCTGTTCTGTGATTTACCTCATGATTTACCTCATGATGTAGTGATGTGCCTGACTATCTTATCTAATGTAAATAGAGATGTTAAATATACTTATTTCTATAAAAATAAAAGTTTGTGCCAGTGTCCCTGACTTCATTTGGGCACCTGCCGTGCAATTCCCTGACAAATTTTCACGTAGTCCTACTGAGCGGAAGTGCCTCTTCCATGGTGCCACCAAGATAGTCTGCCTCAAGAGATGCTGGGGGTATTTCAAATGAATCTAGATGGCCCTTTCTCAGGGTGAACAATATTGTGCACTGGGCAGAAAGGCAGGACTAGGTGGTCTCCAAGGTCCCAGCCAATACTTACATTCTGTGATTTTATTGTCAAATCCCAACCCTTGGATGATCAGAAAGCCTCTCTTGTGAATCCTTGTTCTGCCAGAGTTGTACAAAGATGTGTAGCGAGATTCCAGTTCAATAAAACATTAGGAAGGCAAAGTGACTGGAGTCCTTACTTTCTTGATCTGGAGCTCAGACCGTTGAGACTGGCTAGTGTGGAGAATTCACCCAGCCCCATGTCCTCTTGCCCAACCGGGCACCCCATCCAACTCTGATCCCCTTGCTGCTGCAAGAAAGGCCAAAAGCGAAGGCCGGCATCTTTAGGATCAGAGGCAGAAGAAAGGAGCCAGTTGGGGAAAGAGACGCCTCTCTCTGGCAGGACATTCAGCATCTTCCCAGGTTCTTCCACTAGGTCAGTCATGAGGCTGGCTGCCATCTGCTTTGCCAATGGCGAGGTGATGCTAGAAAGTGGGGACCCTCATGGAGCTACCCAAGAGGGCATGGACCCACTTTCTAAAAGAGGTTGAAGGGAGCCTCTTCAGCAGAGGCCAACGTGAGTCTGGCAGTTGGGCTGACTTAATGGGGGCCAGGGATGGGGGGGTGGGAATGTAACGTCCTCAGAAGAGGCCTTGATGCCAGCGGGAAGGAAAGGGTGCCGCTTCTGGACTGGACTGAGCTCAGCAGCTCTTCCTGCGGATCTTCTTGCCTGACCCTTGGATAAGAGACCCGGCTTGACGCACGGAGCCACCTGCAGACGAGGCGCCCGCTGGGACGGATGGCACCCCGGCCACGAGATGGCCTCGGGCTTGGTGGGAGCCAGGCGAGGAGGGCGAGCTTCCCCCGCTGGGGGCACCGGCATTCCCGGCAGATGCGGCTGATCAAAAAGTCCCGCCCCGCCAAAAGCCGGGCATCAGGCGCGGGGAAGGGTCCTCCTCCCCGACCAATTCCTGGGCGTTGGGAGGCGCCAGAGGGAAGCTAAAAATAAACCTCGGCTCAGGCGCGCCGCCGCGGTTGCCAGGACGGGCTTCCTGCGCGGGGCCCGGTCGGGAGAGCGCCGGTCTGCAGGCTGCTCGGCTGCCACCCGCCCCGCCCCGCCCGGGACCGCCGTCCCCTCCTGCCGGGAGCCGAGGCGGGCAGCGGCGGCGGCGGCGGCGGCGCTTCTTCTCCGCCGGGCTGGCCGGCGGGGCGCGCGCAGGCTCCGAGCGCCGCGGCGCTGCCGCAGTTGGCCGCTGTCCGCGGTGCTGAAGGCTGGTCGGAGCGCGGCGGCGCTGTCCGCGGTGCTGGCCGTCCAACCTGCCGCTCAGGTGACCGCGGAGCTGGGGGCGCCCGGGCCGCGGCGGCGGGCATGCGAGAGGCGGGCCGGCGGCGCGAGGGGCTCCAGCCTGCTGGGGCTCCGCTGAGGCGAACGACGTTGCGGCTGCTGCATCTGTGAGCTCCCCTGTGCCCACACTATGCAGAAGGCGCTGCGCCTGAACGACGGGCACGCCGTCTACCTGGGGCTGCTGGCCAAGAAGGACGGGGCCCGGCGGGGCTACCTCAGCAAGAGGAGCTCTGACAACACCAAATGGCACCCCAAGTGGTTCGCCCTCCTCCAGAACATGCTTTTCTACTTCGAGAATGACTCCAGTTCCCGGCCAGCTGGCCTCTACCTGTTGGAAGGCTGCCTGTGCGACAGAGCACCTTCGCCCAAGCCCAAGGATGCACTGGAGAAACAGGTGGGATGGGGGCATGTTGGGGGGGGAGGGAGGGAGGGGGAGGGAGAGGTTGGGGGACTCTGAGCCCTCCCAGCCTCTTTGGGGGTTCTCCTCCTCTGCACAGGGGAGATCCTGCTGGGGAGTCTCTCAGCAGCTGCCAGGTGCATTCCCCCCCCCCCCGCTATGCACCTAATAAGCAGCGTCAGAAGCTGGTCCTCTCCCCTTCAGCACCCCAGGCTCAAAGGGCGGGAGCTTCCCCCTCCCCATCACGGAGACATCCACCCAGAAAATAAGTTAAATGAAGCTGCAGGTTTCTTTATAAAATTAAGTATGGAAACCCATCCGATTAATTAGTCAGCATACTAAAATGCAATGCTCCAAGTGGAGGGTATTATAGGAGGAGAGCTCTGTTCGTCTCTGTGGAATAAAAAATAATGATAGAAAGAGTCTAGTAAGATCTTTTCAGATGAAGAGGGTCAATAAAAGCTTATGCTTTTTAATAAAGTCGATTAACTGGAAAAAGTGCTACCAGACTCCTCTTGATTTTCTGAGGGGAGGAAAGGGGGAGGTTGTGCTCATCTGTAGCCATTCACCCTCATCTTCCTTCAAATCTGCCTCCCCCAGCCCCCCCCTCCCTCCCTCGAGCGGTTCCCCATTGACTTCACTCTCTCTTGGGGAGGGCTGGAGGTCAGCCCAGCCCAGCCCGCAAGCCCAGCCTCCTCGGTGGATTTCCTAATCTCCTGGGCCCAGAGCCAGTCAGGCTCAGCCCAGTCGCTCAGGAGCTCCAAACTGTCCCCTCGGCTGCTCTGCACAGTGAGAGAAACCTCAGCTCTGTACAAGAAATGCCCCCCCAGACTCGGTTCCCAGCCCTGCGAAGCTCCTTGAAGAAGAACTGACCTTATAAAGGGGGTGAGACAGTTGAGATTCCAGACTGCCCAAGTCAGGTAAATCCAGTTCTTAACATGATCAGGGAAAGAACCACATCAGCACCTTCTGGAGTCGGGTGAAGGGTGGGTCACTGGATCCGCTGCTCACACAGCTTGCCTTGACAGGAACACCAGGGCATCCGTTCCCCTGCTGCATGTCCTCCTTGCTGATATTTTAGAAACAAGAGGCGGGTAGAGAAGGACCCGACCTGGGCCAATTTACAGCATCTCCCCATTCTAGCCCAAGGGGCCAGCTGCCAGACCACAGGGCAGGAGAGGTCTAGTTCAGGCCAGGCCAGTGAGGTTCTGAGGAAAGCTCCCTGCTTTCCTGGCACCTTCTTCCTCAGGGGTGCTTTGAGTAAACCAACTCAACTGTGAAGTCCTCGATCATCGTATGTTACAGATGGTCACAATGGACTACCTGCTACTTGGGGTCTCTACGGACACAATAGGCTTCCACATCTTGGTTATTCCTCGTCTCAGTTCAGCAGCAAAACAACTGCATTAAATTACAATTAAAGGCCTCCCTGCAACTGATTTACTATTGCAGAGTCTCACTCCCATCGACCTTATTTCTGCTCCATGTGTCCTGGGAACCACTTCTGAGTTGTCATGATAGGGCATCATCTCAACCCTGCTTAAGTGTAAGCCATGAGTAGGAAAGCATTGCTACCTTTTAAGCAGTTTCCAAAGCCAGATGATCTCCACCCAGGAATGGGTCCTCCAACACTGGAGATGTTTAAGAAAAGATTGTCTAAAATGGTCTGGGGTCTCCTGCTGGAGAGGTGGGTGGAAAACCTCTGGGGTCCCTTCCAACTCTGCTATTCTGTTAAAAACCAAAAAAAAAAAAGCTGCTGCCATCAGAATAGGCAGGAAGGTCTCATCAGCCTCTGGCCCTCCATTTTCTTGCCGCAGAGGCAAACCAGATGCCGAGAGAAACACTCCAGGTGACTTCGAATTCCCTGAAAATGCATTACCACTTTGTCCTCTCTCTTATTCTTTAAGAAGCCTCCCCCTCACCTCACTTTGGCCCTCCTCATATGGGTACCCCACCCATAGATGCATCCCTGCCTTTGTCTGCCTGTGTCTGCCAATCTACTAGGCAGCAGCCCCAGAGGGAGGGGGGGCTGGGACGAAGCTCAGTCCAATTCCGGAGCACCCTGAGCTGTCTAGTCGTGCCCTGAGAAGAAGGCTGGGAAACTTGAGATGGCCTCATCGCTTGTCCCGTCTGCAAAAGATGATGGTCACAGGAGGCATTCCTGGAGTCGGGGCTTCGTTTTCCACTGCCCGTTCCAGATTCAGGAACACATTCACAGGTCACACGTGTTGCCTCCCAACAGCCAACAGCCAAATGGGGTTTCTGCAGCACCACCAATTCCATCATTTCACTTCCGCTCCAGTTTGAAAGCAAAACCTCCAAACAGAAAAAACGGGGCTTTGCTTTCTCTTGGTCTGAAGAATTGCAGGCTTTCAAAGGATCAGCGACCCCAGGCAAGCCACCGGCTGCTCAGGGCAGGGATTCTGCCTGGAGCCTCCTTCCATCCCTTCCACCTTCCAATGGCTTCGAGGTGATTGTGACTAACTTCCCCTCGGGGTTTGCCTTAATGCCCAGACTCTGGAACAGGAGCATTGGCCAATGTGACCTCCTCAGGCGCTTCTGGCCTTTCTCCCCGAGGCTGGGTGGTCCTTGTGGCTCTACTTAGTTTCCAGCTTCATCCACTCTACTTTGCTGCCCTCCCCTTTCTCTGCCTGCTGGCCATTTGCCCCTCTCTTCCTCGGAGGGCCCCCCTCTGAAATTCATACAATCAAGCAGTGTGTGTGGGGGGGGGGAGTTTCACCTGTCTATAGTGGCCTTTTCAGTTGCTGAAGGTTGGAAATTATATTTTTGTTGATGCAGATTAACATTTTATTTCTGCCAGCCATGTCATTGTGATCAATACAATTACATCTTTTTAATGTGAACAATATTTGTCTGTCCTGTTCTTGCCCCCTTGATCTCCGTTTTCATCCATCAATCTATTTGCAAAATTCCCAGTAGACGTTCTACAGGTAGTGACCATTTGAAGTTAAAACGGCAATGAAAAGAATGACCATTTTGACTCTTGCAGCATCCCATGACCATGTGATCAAACTTTGGATGCTTGGCAATTGGCAATTGCATTTATGACACTTGGAGGATCCCGGGGGGGTCAGTAGTCACCTCTGGCAACCTTCTGACAAGCAAAGTCAATGAGGAAGCCAGGTTCCTTTAACAATGTTTTCTAACTTAACTGCGATTCACTTAACAACTGTGGCAAGAAAAGTCATAAAATGGGGCAAAGTTCTTTTAGCAACTATCTTGCTTAGAAACAAATTTTGGGGTCAGTTGTGTTCATAAGTCAACGACTAGCTGTATTTAGTCCATATTTAATATATTAGCTCTGTACTTTTATAAATATGAGATAAGGTTAATCAGGCTACACTCAATAATTCCATGTATATTCAATAGATCAATTGTTTTATCAGATATTGATGAATTTCTTTCTCCTTTTTTGAAAGTTTGGGGTTAGAATTAGGGTCTTTGTCATCACATTTACCAGAATTTTCATAGACCACCAGCCCAATGAGGAGGTGTTTCCTTCAGTGCTCTAAAGTGCAACTCAGCAGCCCTGGAATTTTAAAGCATTTTGAAATTTCCTGATTAGATTTCTATCAGGCTGAATTTGCAGCCCTGTTTCTTCAACCTAAAAATGCCATCCTCTTCTCACACAACAGGCTCACTAAAGGGGCCAAATGTTCTGCCTTTTCTTTGCTCTCTGTTAGCATTGTCTGGACCGTTGATTTTGATTCTGCTTCTTCTTGCCTTGTCAGCAAACCCTGAAGAAGGCCTTTTTCTCTTTTTAAGCATCCGCTGCTCCTTTCAGCTCATTCTGAACACCAAAACTGTCTGACAAGCTCCCTCAAATTCTGGGCCTTCCTGCTGTACTTGTGGTTCTTTCTCCAGAACATGTCCTCTTCTATTCCGCTTCTTTGGCTGTCTTCCCTTTGTTCTCATTTGGAATAGTCTGTGCTTTTAGCATCTCCTTTTTAAATAACTTTTGCCCACCATGTGCTCTTCTTCTCATTTACAACTCATTGTTCCATATGGATTAAAACCCACTTTCTTGTAGATACGCTTTATTTATTTTATTTATTTATTTATTTTGATTTGTCAATCACTTACAAGATAATAGGAATGAGTATATACATAGTTATGAATACATGAAATGGGTACATATAAGAAAAATAAAAGAAACAATAGGACAGGGACGGTAGGCACATTGGTGCGCTTATGCTACAGACCTCTTAGGAAAGGGGTGAGGTCAATAGTAGACAGTCTAAGGTTAAAGTTTTTGGGGTTTGGGGAAGAAACCACAGAGTCAGGTAGAGTATTCCAGACATTGACCACTCTGTGGCTGAAGTCGTATTTCCTGCAATCAATTTTGGTGCAGTTAACCTTGAGTTTGTATCTATTGTGTGTTCTTGTGTTGTTATGTTTGAAGCTGAAGTATTCATTGACAGGTAAGTCATTGCAATGTATGATTTTATATACTATACTTAGATTGGACCGAAGGCGGCATAGTTCTAGGTTTTCTAGGTCTAGAATTTCGGGTCTGGTGACATAAGGTATTCTGCAATGAGTAGAGTGTAGAACTCTTCTTGTGAAATATTTCTGGAGTTTCTCAACTGTGTTAATATCAGATATGTAATGTGGGCTCCAGACTGATGAGCTGTATTCGAGCATTGGTCTAGCAAATGTTTTGTATGCTCTATTTAGTAGTGTGATATTACCAGAGAAAAAGCTAGGTAGGATTAGGTTAACAACTCTTAATGCCTTTTTGGCTATGTAGTTACAATGGGCTCTAGCACTTAGGTCTTTTGAGATGAGTGCTCCAAGATCTTTGACAGAGTTTGGATCATCAACAAGATCTTGACTATTCAGCTTGTATTTTATTTTCTGATACAGAAGTCTATGTAGATTGCGTCTATTGCTTTGCCCTGATCGAGTTATGTAGTCCATATGTTTTTGCAGTGTAAGAGTTGCAGATTACATGATAGGTTTTTTCTGAAACCAAATTGTTTATTAGAGAGTAGGTTGTTTGTCTCTAAGTGGAGGATGATGGATTGGTTAATAATTGATTCCATGACTTTACAGGTGATGCAGCATAAAGAGATTGGTCTGTAATTTTCAACTAGTCTGGGGTCTCCCTTTTTGAAGATGGGGATGACCGTGGCTTGTGACCATAGGTTAAGCAAGGAGCTGGTCCTAAAAGATTTTTCGAAGATTATGCTTAGAGGTTCTGCTATGGCAGTGGATAGCTTTTTTAAGAAGTAGGCACATATTCCGTCCGGTCCAATAGATAGAGATGGTTTTAGATTGCGTAGTGCTTTTTCAACATTGTCTTCTGTAAGATCGATATGTATTAGATCATTACTGCATCCACTGGCCTTTGTAGGCTTTCCTCATTGATTCATGTAAACAAGGGTAGTTGAAGTTCTTGTGCTTTCTTCTACCTTCTGAACAAGAAAAGTGCCAGGAAAATAGCAAGGTGGGGATTTCCTCAAAGGGCCATGCTTGGCAGAGCTTGCCTGTTAACATATGTCAGGGCAATTAAAGTCCCCATCGTTACCACTTCATGTTTGGAAAGATCTTTGCTTTTGGTAATCACGTCCGTATTTTTCCATAGTTGAATTGTCAGCAATAGGTAACATTTATAAGTGCTGTTTTTATTCACCCTTCCACCTACTTTAAACAATGTACTCTCAAGAGCACCAACAAGTGCCTTCCCTTGAATTGTCTTGTATATTTTATAGCTCAAGCCCTCTTCCTCTCTTTCTAAAACTTCTTTTGAACAAGATTCATTTCTTCCTTCTCAATCCTGAGAGATCCCATCCTACCAAACTCTCCAAATATGATCTCATTTGATTGTATTTCCCGTATTGTGATGGATAATGCCATGCGCTGAGCTATTATTCTTGATAGTTCATTGTATAATAGGAAGATATTGCTCTATAATTGTTCTGTCTCCTTTATTTCTGCAGGATACAAATCCTTATTTCAGATTCTTCTGGAGTTTTATCTCCAATCTTAATAGGACAACCTTGGGAGTTTTGGACACTTTTCAAAAACAGGTTGGACAGCCACTTGTCCGGAATGGTATAGGGTCTCCTGCTTGAGTAAGGGGTTAGGCTAGAAGGTCCAAGGTCCCTCCCAATCGTAGGTTCTAAGGTTCAATGTCAAGACTTCTTCATCACCATGCTTTGGTGGAAAAGCTTCTGCGTTCCCTTCCCTCCCTGCTCATCCTTTCTCCCCAGCCCTCCACTCCTCTTTTTTCTACAGCCCATTGGTATTTATCCAAGGTTTTTAGATGGAGTTGTACCTCAAAAAATGAAACTGAACGTTCTCTTGATTAGAGTCACCACACCTGGCCACACGTTTTTAACTACTCCTTGTGCCAATCATTCAAGACAGAAGCTCTTGAAACCAAACCTCTCCCAGTCCATAGCATTTGTCTAGCCGGTCAGTTTAGCTGGCCGTTTCCTTTTTCCTTTGTAGGCCTTGATGAGTGGATGAGAAACACCTGAAACTCCAGAATATTGATTTCCTTCCAGAATCCACAGTGATGCAGTTATAGCTGTTACTGCAGTATCATCCGTCCCCAAACAGAAGAGCAGAAAAGGAAAATTGACAGTCAGTTTGATAAATCTTGGAAATTGTTCTGTCACATTGCTAATCTGTGCTCCTGAGAGACAAACTTGTTTCATGAGACGTTGGGTTTATTGTCATCTCTAGTTTCTATTCCACACCGGAGGGAATCAGCAACTTCCAAGCCTGTCTTTTTGCAGGATGAAGCTGGAGCCCCTCTGCCCTTCAGGGATCCACTCTCCTGACTCCCTTGCTGGGGTCTCTTTCCTCAACTGAAGATTGAGAACCTCTTTTTTTGGTGAGGGTTGGAATTTGATTCTGAATTCCAGGGTACAAAATATTTTCTCCCTTTCTCATTTCCGGCTGTCCTTCTTGTCTCTTTTTTACACACACACACACACACCAGTTCCTGTTGTTATACCTCTGTTAGTTCATCCAGCATACCTTTGCTCTCTATTATGACCTGGCAGACAGTCCCTCACTCTTCCCAGCTGTCTCCTCCTTCAGGCACCAGATGCGCCTGCATTTGCTGCAAAGGGCTCCTTCGTTGTGCTTTGCAGTTGGAGATGCACACCATCAGTCCTGCATGGAGGGTGTCCTCCCTCTATATTCTCTTGGGCTGAGGAAACAATGGTATTCTCCAGGCATATCCTCTTCCTTCTCTAGGCATGCCAGAGGAGCACTCTTTCCTCCCCCTGGCTCTAGCTCATGCTTCGCACAGCCCTCCTTTTCCCCCTGAAGGACTGGAATCTATGCAGGGTACCCTTAGGTATCCTCCGGTACAGGAACTGCCTGAAGCTTTACCAAATACTGTAGGTTAAGGTGCTAGTCCTGTGGATCCTTGTTTGGGAAGTGGTCCCCTGTGGAAGCATGGAGACCTTTGGAACCAAACAGAAACATGCAGTCCTCTGCAGTGGTCCACATCCCATCATTTTGGACATCAGTTCTGGTTTAAGATCAGAAAGAACGGCAGGTCTTTCGCAGGATAAGGCCCTGCACACATTGGCATGAATGCCTGCTGCGATTGGCTGCCCTTCGCATAATCAGCCGTGCCAGTGAGAAGAGCTATATTTAGATGAGAAAACCCTCTTCTGCTCGGCCTCATCCGCAATGTTTCCAGGGTGCTGCTGCAACTGAATCCAACAGGATGCCCTTGAAGAAGGCAAGCCAGACTGGGGGGGGAGGGGGGAACAGAGGGGGGGGTGAGAAGCTCCCCAGGGCAGGAGCCCGGCCAGCACCAGCATCCTGAGAGCCACTGGCATGATCTGGCACACTTCCAGGCAGCTCTGCCCTCCTTTGGCACAGCTCTACCCCGGGGCTACCCCCACACTGCTCCGTGCTGCGCCTGATAGCAGGCGGGGTCAGGGAGAACAGGCCACCTAAAGGTCCCGACTCCCTTGGGTTGATCAAGGCAGCACTTCCAGGCTCAGCAAAGGGAGCCACGAGCTGCTGTTCCCTTCCTCGGTTGCGCCTCCTTTCTCAGCACAGAACACAAAGGCCTGGGGAGGGGAAAGGCAGAGGGACCCAAGCATTATGGAAAGTGGTCCCAAGCCATTGATCGGGCGGAGCAAAGCCCCGGGGAAATCGGGTGGAAATCCCGCTCTGGGACCTCCCTGTGGTGTCAGCGGGGCAAGAACAGTGGGCTGTGCTCGGTTGGCATGTGGCCATCATCCTTCCAAGCAGCCCCTTGACCCCTACTCTGCGTAGTTAGGAGCTCAGGAACGCGGGGTGAACAGTGCCAGGTGAGCAGGTGCCCAGAGCAGCCCCAGTGTGGCAAGAGAGGCCCCCGTGCTCGCCCCCTGGCATCCCCGAGTGCCTTGGGAGTCGGGGGTCAGTCTCTGCCTATCCAGATCTCCTCTCGGGTTGCCTTTTGGGGTCTCCTCTGATTTGACCAGTGGAAGCAGAAGGGGGGCAGCCCAGGCGCTTCCGTACTTGTTTCCCCACTTGATCGATTGGATCTGTGGCCATGCAGAATATTCCGTTTCCTAGGAGACTGTAGAAAGGAGAGCAAATGAACGGCAAGAACTCTTTGGCTGGGCTAGAAGCTTCCCTGATGAAAATTAACACAACAAGAATAAATGCCAAAGGAAGCTAAAAATAGCCTGTCCTGAGTCTGCTCAGCTCCTTGACACGCAGCCTGAAACAAACCGGGGCCGCCCCCCCCCCCCCCGCTCCTTTGGGCCGAGACCAAACACCGGGGCTTATTCAACAGGCGGACGCGTCCATGAAGTCTAGAATGAAAACAATAATTAATATCCAATCAAAGCTATTTATTAAAAACTATTAAAGGCTCACTGCATGCAGGACAATCACGTCATCAGTGGCAGAACGGGTCAAAAGCTCTTCAACTTAATGGCACTGGGCCTTTACCCCATGAGCGTGTTTGTGTCCTATGCAAATCACGCTATTTTCCTCCGGCTGAACAGCCCAGCGCCTGGAGCAGAACTCCCTGCGCTTTCTTCCCGCTTGACTGGGATGATTGTTCTACCGGTTCAGTTTGCCTCTAATGGGAGCCCAGTCCAGGTGGCTCAATCCTTCCACGGCCTGAGCGGAAGATGGCAAGAGGCTTAACAGGGAGCTCTGCTTCTGGCCCAGGAAGAATTCATGGCTTCCCAGGCAGACCAACTCCTGCAACAATACCAGGTTCCAGCAATCTTTGCCTGCCTTTAGGGTTTCACTAGACAACCAGTGCATAACATAAGAATATTGCTCTTATTTCCTGGGGAGGGCACTGAGCCAAAGGTGAGGGTGGGGGTGCAATTAGGGAGGCTTAGACAATCACCAGAGCTGCCTGCCTCGAAGCCTTCAGGGTCCCAGGCACAGTACTGGAGGCTCCTTTGGGCTCAGGGGGCTGGCTGGCAGTGTGACAGGTGCTCCCAGAGTCCTTCTCGGGCGCACCTCCCGGCCTCAGAGCCAGGCAAAGGGCATATGCCGATGCTGGGAGAAGCCCTCTCAGGGTTTCTTCCCTCGAGAGCAGGGGTGTCAAACTCAAGGCCCGTGGGCCCAATCCGGCCCACAGGGCCGCCCTGGGAACAGCGAAGGAAGGACTGGCCCACGGTGTCTCTGCCAGTGGAAACGGAGCTCGGGAGCGCTGCCCACGGCTCTCCCGGGCTCCGTTTTCAGCCCGGATGGCCTCCTGCAGTCCTCTGCCGGGGTGAGGGGGGGGGTCACATTGGATTCATCTTGTGATTCTGATTTTGAGTGTGTTAATTTTAGTGTTATCTTTTACACATTTCATTATTTTAGCCATCTTGAGTTTTTATGATGAAAAAAAATGGGGCAGTATAAATGTAACAATAAATAAATAACAGTCAGACCATTTCTCTTCATTTTTATAGCATTATTTTACGGTTAACTTCAATCATGAGAACCAGAAAACTCTGGAGCTGAGAACTGAGGATGCCAAGGATTGTGATGAATGGGTAGCAGCTATCAGTCATGCCAGGTAAGGACCCCCCAGCAGAAAAGCCTCCCCAGGACGGCTCCGGGCAGGCTGAGCCTGAGGGAGGGAAGGGCTGCCTTGTGCTCTCCCATTATCCGAGGGCTCCTGAATGGGCCGCAGTTCAGTACCAGGCCTCGGCCCCAGTTTGGGTACCCCTGACTTAGAGTGCCTTTCTTGGGTTTTGGAGCCTGACTCCTAAGAAGGGAAGGGGAAGCAGGAGCTACACCCGCCTTCTTCAGACCCCGGAGTGACCCCTGCGCCATTGGGAGCTCTCCTCTGACTTCTCAAAGGGCAGGTCTGAATGGCGGGCAGCTTATCAGCAAGGAGGACCTGGATACAAATGTTTTCATCTCGGCTTTGGTCAGGATGAGGCAGTTGCCCTTGGTGGGTAAATGGCTGCGGAACTCTGGGATCCTGTGGGGAGCCTCTGCCTGCCCAGGGTGCCTGGGCACCTCCACTTCCAAAAGGCACAACAGAAGTGCAGACGGTCATTCCCAGAGACTTCCAGCATTTGTTTATATTTTCAAAAGCCATATTCATGGTGACAAATGTAATATTTAAATTTTCTTCCTCCATTGCCTCTTTTTATACCCTTTCATCTGATGAAGAATTCTGGGAAACTTAAAAGCTTTGTAGCAATACATCTGACTTGATGTAAACGAGAGCCCTGGAAGTTGAAAAGAGACAGTCAAAACAATTTAGGGACACTTTAAAGAATTCAGGAAGGAAGATTCCATTTCTATACAAAGATTTCCCCCTTAGCTACCAGAAATTTAAAAAAAAAACAGCATTTTTCTTCGTCACAGGGGCTGTATGCTGCCTGGAACTGGTGCGGGATGTGGAGTGCTTTTTTGTAGCTAATTCCTAGATGTTATCAAAACATTTGGGGGGGTGGGTAACTGCTGTTTGGTCGTTTCAGATGTTTCCCCCTCTATCCTTGTATTGTGACCTTGGGCAGCTGTGAGATGCTGCAATCAAAGATAAAATCTCATCCTTGACATTTGCATATTGAATTTATTGTCTACCTTTAAATATGCTGTTTTTTCTCCTGGACTTTTAATTAACAATTACAATAAAGAGGGAATAATGTCTGTCTCAGTTTGATGCTGTGGAATCTTTGACTATTTGACAAATATCCTGAAAATTCCTTTGACCTCCGATTAAAGCTGGTCCCACCCATGAAAAGTACATTCTGCCTTAATCTCTTTAAGTAAAAAGAATGTTCCTCCTAAAATTCACCTCTTCCTGGAAAATTGCAATTATAAAAAGCAGCATGAAGGAGCCAGATGAATACTGTATATTGTCTGGGAATAACTATTTACTTTAAATTTGGGGGCCAGTTAAATGGCACCCTGGAGTGCAGCTGAAGGAGCCGCCTGACGGTCTGGCTGAACACGTTTTCTCTGAAGAATCCTGGACAGCTGAGGAGGAGCCAGCCATGGAAGGAGGCTTCCAAAGTGTGTGTGTGTGTGTGTGTGTGTCGGGGGAGGGGGGGGCAGAGGATCCAGGGAAGGCTGCCCAGCTCACCATTTAGGAATCTAAACAGCATAGATCAATAAAAAGCAAAAACATTCCAAATCAAGGAGAAATAATAGCATAAAATTTGGCCTCCTCAGGCAGTTCAGGCTATTAATAGTCCCTATTTTGGCCATACATTATTTCTGGCACCAGATGGTGTGTAAGTGCCTTGCTCCCACTGTCTATGGGGGGAGCAGAGTGGGGCAGCACCTGGACTGGCCAGTCCAGTTTCTTAGTTCGCTGTAATGCAGTTTCAATCACTTCACTTTCTACTGAGCTTGTGGATTGCGCCATTCTGTGGTTTCCTTGGTTATGGTTAACTGAATAAGCCACATCCTGGCTGAATGCACCCACCACACTAAGTAAAGCCCATTCCTGTACTGGCTTTGTGTGAGGCATAGGCCAGCTTTATTTGTGTCAGATTAGCTGAGCCCTTCACCTCTGGGGCCCAGGCCTATTACCCCACAGTGGTCCTGTGCTTTGCTGAGTCCTCAGTGTCACGGTGGGAATTCAGTGCCAAAATACCAAATAAATTGAACGTGACTTTGAGTATTTAAATCAGTAACAAGCTTAGCAGGCTTCACAAACCACACTTTATCTTGTCCCTGAAAACACTTGCCTTTAGTCAGGCGTGGACTGTGACTATAACTTGGTGAGGGTTAGGGTGAGGCATGCTGAGTTCCAGAGCTTAAAGGTTCTTTGAAGCACAAAGTAGTGTTCGTGGAATCCATATTAAGCAGAAAATGGTCCAGTTTCTTCTTAGATAATAACTCCAGGAAAAGATGAGCCCACCTCTTCTTGGCTCATTGATTCCCATAAGTTAAAAGATTGTTGAAAACCTCCCATTTGGAACCCACTCTATGCAATATAAATCCATTTTTCTGTGTTGGATAGTCTGAGTCAATGGAGAGTTAACCTTCTGATCAGGGACATCTTTTGGATATTGGAGAGTATTATCATAAGCCCATTTGGGCTTTTATATGGACCCAACTCCTCTGAACGTTTCATTTTTAGACCTCTGATTATCTCATTGCCTTTCATGGAAGAAATTTCAGCGACTCCTTCTCAAAGTGTGGAGCCCTACTTGGGGTTTGTCCAAAGCAAAATGATTTAGAAACTGCCCTTCCTCCGGCAATGTACATTGTGTTTGCCTTTTTAGGGGTCTCATCCCACGGCTGCTTCTGTCTCTTTTCCAACCACGACTACTCAAAGGTGTTTTTCACAAGACTTGCTACTAAGTCATGACGTGCTTCTTACCCCTTCTTCTTTATTTGGCTTCTCTGGTGAAAAATTTTGAACTTGTCTCTGTTGCATTTCATTTTGCTGTTTCCCTCCAATTTCTCCAACTCCTCAAAGTCAGTTTGAATTTGATTTGTTTTCCAAGATACCTGCACCCAATTTTCTGTTACCTTCAATGGATTCATCCCAGTGATTAATAAAAATGATGATTCAGAACTTGATACTTTCCTTCCTCTGTTTAATGAAGAAATGTTAATCACTTTTCCATAAATTCTAATTTCATCCAGACCTATTTAATCATTTGATGATCAAAATATTGTGGACTTGCAGTAGTCATAATAGAATTTGATAGTCTACTCATTAATCCTTTGACTTTCTGTTCTCAGAGGTCGGATCTAGTTCTCCAGATCTTCTTTTTGAAGTTATGGCTGGCATTTGTCCACCTCCAGTTGTCTGGCACCTCAACTATTTCCCAGAATTTCTCAAAGGTTCAGTCAAACACTAATTCCCAGGAATTTATTAGGAAGCAATTAATCTCCTCCTAAAAAAAATATACTAACTAAAAAGAAGTAGTATTTCCACCAGCTTGTTATCAGTCTCACGCTTCATCTTGCTTTTCACAGTTGCAGTTTACAGACAAATCCTTTCCTGTTGGGGAAAATTAAACCAAAATAGGAGTTTAGTAAAAGTAAAGATAAAGGTTTCCCCATTTTGGTCTCCAGAATCTCTCATTTCTGTTTCTTAGCCGAGGGAGCCAGCATTGTCTGAAGACCCTTCTGTGGTCATGTGGCTGGCATGTAGCTGAGGTGCCCAGAATGCTGTTACCTTTCCACTGAAGTGGTACCTATTTATCTACTTTCATTTGCATGCTTTTGAACAGCTAGGTGGGCAGGAGCTGGGGCGAGGAATGGGAGCTCTCCCCATCTCAAAGTGCTTGGGTCTCAAACCCCAGGCTGTCAGTTGACAAGCTTAGCATCTTTAACCACTGGACCACCACACCTTGGATAGGAATTAAATATTTCTCCTTTTTCTTTTACCTGCTATCATTATGCTCTCATATAGTTCTTTATTCTGAATATATCTTAAAAAGACCCTTTCCCATCACTTCATTCTGAGCTTTTACAATCTCTCCGGTTTTGGACTGTCTGCATTTTCTGTTCCTTGGCAATTTGGCTCTTTTTCTACCTACCACCTGTGTACAGTTTTGTTTAAATGTATTCGCTATGTTTGTCATGCAGCCAGGTTGGTTTCTTTAGGTGTCTTCTTTTTGTTTGTAATTGTGCTTTTAGTATCTCCTTTGGGGGATCTCTCACTTGCTTTTTCATTAGCTCTATCAACGTGGACATTTGGTATCAATCAGATCGCTCCGTTTATCAAGATTGGTCTTCCTGAAATCCCAAAATATGTGACTGACAGTTCAGCCTTTATTTATTTCTCTTACACTTAAGAACTCCAGCATGGCATTGACACTTTTCCAGAATGTCCCTACTATTTTCAGTTCCTTAATTAAATATTTTTGTCAAATCAGGTGCTAGTGATCCTCTTGTAGCTCCATTCACCTTCTGAAGTAAAATGTCGTCTGCCAGACCCGTCAGAAACCTTGTGGAAAGAGCCTGCTTAGATTGGTCCTCACACTTTTGAAAGGGTCACACAACAATTGTCAGGCTAAACCAAGTCTTCCGTTCTAGTCTTCCATTCAAGTATTCTGTTCATGCTGTTTGGGAAGATTGACAATCCGCATTTAAAAAAAGAGTGCATATTTTCTCCTTTACTTGTTTTTTATTCCATCTGATGCAGGTTATAGCACTGCTAAGTTCATTCACCTGGATATCTGAACAGAGATGGATATTTTTAATATAAAGAAAAAGGTCTTCCCTCTATGATTTCTGTTCCTTTTTCATTATAGAGTTAAGCTTCAGCTGGTGCAGAATGCAGCTGTGTGGGCAGCTGTTGGGGCCCCTAGAGTGGCCCATGGTGCAATGCTGGTCCAAGAGCATCATTGGTTGCTTCTAGGTCCAATTCAAGGAGTTGGTTCTCACCCTGAAAGCCCTTCAGAGCATGGGTCCAGACTATCTGAGAACCAGTGTAAGGACCTGCCTCAGCTACGTTCTCAAGAAAGTAAAACTCTTGCAGCGGTTTGCATTTCAAAAGGAACTTTTACTGAGAGAGAAAGTGATTGCAGAGAAGTCAGGCGGAGTCTGCAATTCGGTGGGAAGCGTTAGGCTAAATTTCTCCTTCAACCCACCCCCACCCCAATACGCATGTCTATCTGTAGCCAATAACATGCTGCAAAAGTGTTTTGGAAACTCCAAGGTGAGATGTTGAGAAGAGGTCGTCCTTGGAGCACCGCAACCTTGAATGCCAGGCTGGAACCGGTTGAGAAGGAGCCTGCGCAGATGGCTAATTCTCCCACACACACACACACTAAAAAAAATCCCAAGCAGTTACAGGAAAAGCGAAAGCATACAAAACATTCAACCCATGAAACCTCCTCCCACCCCACTTCTGCCTGCAAGTCTGTCTAGACAAGCCTGAGTCTTGGAGACCTGTTTGGGTCAGCAATGCTGGGCTCCGAAGGGAAGGGCTGGTCGGGAATAATGACACTTCCGGTGTTTCATTTCCAAGGCCATTGAGCTAAGGGAGCCCAGCTGGCCTGCCCATCAGCCCAGCATTGCTGACCCAAACAGGTCTCCAAGACTCAGGCTTGTCTAGACAGACTTGCAGGCAGAAGGTGGGGCCCCAACAGGGGACTTTCACTCTGGGGGTGGTTGAGGGATCATTGCCTTTAACCTTGTAAGCTGCCCAGAGTAGCTCTGTGGTGAGAAGGGCAGTAATCAAATGTAATAACTATATAAAAGTGGTTCCTGCTTGATAGCTACCTCTAAGAACCACGTATCGAAGATCAGGACAAAGAAGGGCTAAAAGAGCCATTCCACAGAGTTACTTTCATTTGGATTCCTGCAGAAAACAGGGGACTCTGCATCTGATGGCCTCCAAGGCTGCTTTCAACCCAACTGTCCCCAAATTCTGTGATTCCATAAAACGTCTTAGTGACAGCAGTTCATCAGTAAAGACTCTGGAAGTGAAGTAGCACATTGGAAATAATTTGCTTTACAGGAACAACCTGACCTGGGAGCCCACTGTTGCGGTGCAGTGCGGTTGGGGGCATCACGAATCGCCGGCCTTAAGGGGTTTTGGAGCTGCCAGGAAGGAGGGCAACTTTTAACGGTTCCTCTCTCTCCCTCCCTCTCTCTCTCTCTCCCTCTCTCTCTCTGTGCTGTCTCTGTCATAGTTATGGGACTCTCGCCACAGAGCATGAAGGCTTAATGCAGAAGTACCTCCATTTACTTCAGATCGTGGAGACCGAAAAAACAGTTGCCAAGCAACTCAGGCAACAAATTGAAGATGGAGAAATAGAGACAGAGCGCCTGAAATCAGAGGTATGGAGCCCAGGCTCAAAACGTGCTGCCAGCTGCTCAAAGTGCGAGGGAACTGGGTATTTTGCTATTTTGGGCGCCATTCCGTCATCCCTCCGGCTTCACGTGCGGGGTCCGTGGCCAAACGCCTGCCAGCAAGCGGGTTCCTGATGCAAATGATGCCAATGGAGAGCAGGTCCTCGGGAGGCATTTAGTGGGTCACTAGACTCCATGACATGGGCACGCAAGTTCCTAGCTCGGGGACTTCCTGGGTTGAAAGCCATTGTGACCCAATTGGCGTTGATTAAAGAGACCCCCTCGCTGGAGCTCCTGAAACCTATCAGTGGGTAGCAAAACCACTGCAGTATTTGTCTGGAAGAGAACAGAGTACAATTCTGGCAGAAGGATAAAAATTGTGCATCAAGGGATTTTGGAAAAAATCTGGCTCCATAATATCAGGAAATGTCCTTTGCCTTTATTTTGACAGCTTAGACTGAAAAGCCACTTTAAGCCCGGAAGTCCACTCTAGGAAAGTGTGACAGTTACTTGAAAAGGCCAAGCAAACTACTGTATAATCTCAACCTTTTTGATTGGTTATGAAGCTTCTGCATTCAAATGTTTGTTGTGCTTCCATTTGTGCTCTTTGAAGTGCAGATCAAATGGCCCTCCGTATGCAGATGCAAATACTGGTGAATGATTGCATTGATTGCGTAAGGAGTTGTGCTGCTTCGTTCCCAAGATGGTTTGTTTAGGCAGCTCCAAACAGACTGCCCTGGGTGCTCCCCAAAAGGCCCCTCCTGCTCTTTCCCGAGGCTGAACAGAAGGCCGGGGGAGGGGGCACTCGGGGGCCAAGCTGGGAGCTCTGGCCGAGGTTGGCCTGGGCATCTGTCTCATCCCTGGGATGGGGCCATTGTGGGCCGTCAGAGGCACCCAAGAGAAAACGGAGGCGACCTCTGTGGGTTTAGCGAGATGGAGAAGGCCCCTAGGATGACCCAAAGGGGCATGGCACAAAAACAACAAAGTCACAAACGTAGATAAATTCCTTTTAATGCCTCCAACTTGGCCCCCGATGTCCAGTTATCCTCAGCTGGAGATCAAACTCTTCCAAAAACAGTCTACTCAGATAAATTAGAAATAAAAAAACCAACACCAACCACACTGAAGTAATTAACACGACAGGCCAGGATAATAAATTGCAGACTCTCCAAAAGATAACGAAGCATCCACAGTTGGGAGGACGCCAACACCCAGATAAGCCTCGACAAAGATAATGCACGCTTTGCTTCCAGCAAGGTGCTATGTGCAAACACCCTTCTTATATCCTGTTCTCCCAGCTGCAACTAATGAAAGGGATCAGGGCCCTTTTCTCCCCCGTAAGCCACGTTGCTCCCTTCTCCGTTCCTCCCTGTGTCCCCTAGGATGAAGAGGGGATGGGCCTGGGTCTTCCTCTGAATGCCCAGCCAGACTTGCCCTTCCCCCGTTTCCTCCACAGCCACCGGAGCCACACCCCCACTCCCTGTCAGCGGCTCAATCTCCCCCTCGGAATCAGACTCCAACAAGGGCATGACAGCCTCTGTTTAAGCACTCTCTCTCTGTGTGTGTAAACAAGGGACTGAGCCCATATCCCAACTGGAATACCAGGCCTGTGGAGAGGTTTATGGAAGCTGTTCCGTGGTTTCTCCTTCTTTAGCAGCAGATCTGAGCATTTGCTGCTGGGTGAAAGGCAGGCTACGAAGCAGGGAAGTCATAGCACCATAAGCAGCTCCTGAGGTTTAGCGGCTGTGCTAGATCAACTTCCCTACTTCCTTTTTTATTGATTTTGTTCTGATTTGTTTGAGTGCTGCTTTCACAGTTTCAGATTTCATGTCTCGGTTCGCTTTTTACATTTAACTTTCTGGGTGAGCCTTCCAGGAGAAGCAGAAATGTTCACAGGAAATAAACTCTTTGCTGATGCCCCATTTCCTTTCCCTGCTCAGCGCAGGCTACAAGAGCAACCAAGAGCCTCTTCCCACACACGAAAGTCCCTTAGCTCAACCTGTGCCACTTTGTGCTGCATCCGAGGCGAAGCCCCGGCCTGGCCTGCCCAGTGAAGGCTGGGATTAGGAATCCCATCCTGATGAGCCTTATTTCCTCCCCCCAAATTCATGATCTGAATGGCAGCAGCTGAACTAGCAGGTTCCTCAGCTCCAGTTCTGATTTTGTCCTGAACCAATATCTCCTTTGCAGCTGGAAGGATTCTAACTCTTTGGTATCTGATGGACAGAGAAATAGAACTTTTGGCATCTTGTGAGCCGGACTCTTTATTGCTAAAGTAGTTATTAGTTATTTAAGTTAGTAGTTATTAAAAGGAGATGCAGTGTGGTTGGAGTGCAGGAATACTGGCTAATTCTGCTGACTGCCAGCAGTTCAATTCTGACTGGCTCAAGGTTGACTCAGCCTTCCCTTCTTCCAAGGTGCGTAAAATGAGGACCCAGATTGTTGGGGGGCAATAGGCTGACTCTGTAAACCACTTAGAGGGCTGTAAAGCTCTGTGAAGTGGGATATAGGTCTAAGTGCTGTTGCTATTTATCCCTCCCCTTTCCTGGTTTTGGGCTCACAATTCCTCATTTACCGTATCATTAAATCCCACACCCGCTACGTTAGCGAAACCCCTTTTAATAGCTCATTGGAGGGAAACCATTGTTTCAAAAATGCTTTATAAATGTAAAGCCTGTTCCCTGCTTTTCTCTGTCCCCCCAGATTGCCGCCTTACTTAAGGACCACGAGCGCATCCAGGCCAACCAGGCCAACTTGCCAAACGATGATGACATTGACATCAAGAAGATCAAGAAGGTGAGCAGCCGCTTTTGCCCCCAGGTCCACCACAAAAGGATGAGGGGTGTGTGTGTGTGTTCAGGCCCTCAAGAAGACGTCTCCTTGCCTGCTCCAAAGGCCTCTTTCCTCTCCGCGGGGCTGGAGGGGACCCCCAGCATTTTGCTCGTGCATAAGGCATGAGCCCCTCCCCCGCCAGCCTCTCCTGGTCAATCACACTATTTTCCAAGGCACATCCTCAGTCCAGGGAGTGAGCCGCCAGGCACAGGGCCCCCCAATGAACCTCAGGAGCATTTCTTGGCTTCAGTGGTTCCCCTTGCTCTGCATCCATTCATGGCAACCCTCTTTTGGCCATCTTTCCTACTAGAACCTCATCTTTTCCTCAGCCCTTTTGGGCAGAGGTGGGATTCAAATTTTTTAACAACCGGTTCTATGGGCGTGGCTTAGTTGGTGGGCGTGGCTTGGTGGTCCTGTGACTGAGTGGACATGGCTTGGTGGTCATGTTATTGGCTGGGCGTGGCCAACTCAACATCACTCACATCGAGGCACGCATCTCCTCGCCTGGCCTCTCATGACTGTGGGGATGCTGCAACAGTCGTAAGTGTGAAAAATGGTCATAAGTCACTTTTTCAGTGCCATTGTAACTTTGAATGGTCCCTCCACACAAGCAAAGTACCAGCAAAGGAGGGGAAAAAAACTCCAGAGAAATTCCTGAGACAGGAAGTCTAGTCTTGCCAAGAATGTAATAAGGGTTAACGGAGAGGCAGTTTCTGTAAGCAACACCAGAATGTTTCCTTCCTGCCTTCCTTACAGGATTAGGCCAGGAATTTCTTCTAACAACTGGTTCTCCGAACTGCTTAGAATGTTAACAACCGGTTCTAGCAAATAGGGGTGAACTGGTAGAATCCCACCCCTGCTTTTGGGACATGGTCTTCCAGTGCAACTCTTGATTCGGCTGGCCTGCTGCATCACACAGTTATTAGAATTCTTTTATTGGTCAAGTGTGATTGGAAACACAAGGAATTTGTCTTGGTGCAAATTTAGTATTCATAGAAGAAAAGATACATTCGTCAAGAGTCAAGAAGCATCAGGTACAACACTTAATGACAGTCATAGGGTACATTAAGCCATCAAATCATACTAGGAAACAGTCAATATAAATCATTAGGATACAAGCGACAAAGTTACAGTCATACAGTCACAAGTGGGAGGGGATGGGTAATAAGGAGTGCTGAGAAGATTAATAGTAATAGTAGTGCAGACTTTGTAAATAGTTGGACAGTGTTATCCCAGGGGTGGGATTCCACCGGTTCTGTCCACCTCTGTAGAACCGGTAGTTCTGAAGAGCAGCAGACAGAGAGCATACATAGAACCAGTTCTATGTCTGCTGCTGTTTTGGCCCATCTGCCCACCTGGGCTCTTACCTGACCTCTATTTCCTGCTTTTTCAACCGCAGCTGCTTTGCACGACACGGCTGCAGTTGGAAAAGCAGGAAAAAAGGGCTTTTCCAACAGCTGCGCACTTGCACGCAGCACTGCTCAGCTGTCCAGGCAGCTCAGCAGGTTGCAAATTGCACTGTGACCTCGGAGCATTTCCTCTGGGGTGAGCACCAGATTTGCTGTGCAACCTGACTTAATTTTCTACTGAAGACCTTTCCGTTAAGAAACCAATAAACAGAAACTGGCCTGCTGTGCAGCCAGACTCAGCACTGGCCTCTGGTATTACTTTGATTTGCAAAAACTTTTCATATCCTGTCCACCAAACAGGTTATTTTCCAGAAAGGGATGTAAGAGGAACATTAAGGACAGCAGCAGGTTTGTAATTAATACAGCAGATTATTAATTAATAATATTACTAATACTATCATTAATAACAATAATATTATTAATAATATTAATAACAATAAAAAAGACAGCACAGACCTTCCTAGATGAAGAAAAAGCTTTTCGTAACCTTCAGTGGCCCTTTTTACTTGTGGTATCCAAGAAAAGAAATCCTGGGCAGTTTGTAGCTTGGCCTGAAATTCTGTCTCAATAGCAAAGGGCGAAAATCCTGGTGAGCAACTGAATCCAATAAGGGAAGTTGCTAGGCAGTGGCGGGATTCATTTTTTTTTTACTACCGGTTCTGTGGGCTTGGTGGGCCTGGCAGGGGAAGGAGACTGTAAATTCTCCAGCCAGAGGTGGGATTTGCTGGTTCTCTGAACTACTCAAAATTTCCGCTACCGGTTCTCCAGAACCGGTCAGAACCTGCTCTAGGCAAGGAATCTCACTCTCTCCCCTATTTTTATAATTGCCTGAGAAATATTGGCAGAAGAAATTGGAGGCAACAAATTCTATAGAGAGGAATACAGGGAATTCTCGACTCACCACCACAATTGAGCCCAAAATTTCTGTTCCTAAGTGAGACATTTGTTAAGTGTATTTTTCCGTGCTTCACAACCTTTGTTGCCAGAGTTGTTAAGTGAGTCACTGCCGTTGTTAAATTAGTAACAAGACTGTTAAGCGAATCTGGCTTCCCTATTGACTTGGCTTGTCAGAAGGTGGCGAAAGGGGATCACAGGAGTGTCACAGGAGTGGCCGGCTTCTATGGATTCGGACCGGTTCGTTGTTATGATTCTGTGCAGCTCAGAGAACCGGCAAATCGTGTCCCTGGCTGGCCCCGCCCTTCCCCTCCCCACCCAGTCAGTCCTTATCGCGCATGCGCAACATCGCACGCATGCCCGACTTTGCTGACTGCATCCTTCCCTGCCCAGTCGCTCCTCAGGGTATTTATTTCCCCCCACTCCTGACAATCGGCGGTTCCTAGGATCCGCTTGCCGGGATCCCCCTCGCTGTCTTACTGTTTCGCCCAGGAGGCTTCCCTGAGGGCCAGAAGCCCCCCCCCCCAAATGGAAGGGGGCTAAAAAAGTGAAGCCACGCCCACCCAGTCACATGGCCACGCCCACCCAGTCATGCCGACAGAACCAGTGGTTAAAAAATTTGAATCCCACCCAAATGTCATAAATATGAGCCAGTTGCCATGCATCTGAATTCTGATCACGTGACCAGGGGATACTGCAATGGTTGTAAGTGTGAAACAGCCATAAATCACTTTTTCCAGTGCCCTTGTCATCTGGAACGGTCACTAAATGGACTGTTGAGGGCTACCTATATAAATGCGGTTCAGACGACGGAGCATGAACCATAAGCTGCATGAAGGCCGTTGATGAGGCCGTTGGGAGAATCAAGGTTCAAAAGCCAGACATAAGTTCAAGGCACCGAACACCAGAAGGTTTCCTGCCTGCCAGATCATGGGTTCCGGGCAGGACCTGGGATGGACCTGGACAGGTGATAATCTGGACTCCCCCCCTCAGGTCCAGAGTTTTCTCCGGGGGTGGCTGTGCAGAAGGAAGTGGAAGACCATCATCCAGGATTACATCCGCTCCCCTCACGCTGACAGCATGCGGAAGAGGAACCAGGTGGTCTTCAGCATGCTGGAAGCCGAAGCGGAGTATGTGCAGCAGCTGCACATCCTCGTCAACAACTTCCTGCGCCCGCTGAGGATGGCAGCCAGTTCTAAGAAGCCCCCCATCACCCATGACGATGTCAGCAGCATCTTCCTGAACAGGTGAGTCGGAAGGAATCTGGCTAAAGAAAGCCGCCACTTTTTTCGGGCCATGGGGTGCCTGCCTGCTGGTGGTGCCCTGCCTGGTGACTTTTAAAGCAGGTAAGGGAACCTGGGGAGTGGGGGGGGCTGGGCCGGATGTGCCCCACTCTTGTGCTGCTGCAATCAGGGGCAAAGGGAGATTGTATCTTTCTCAGGAATCTGGGAGCAGGGACTCACGATTGAGCCCGAAAGGGGCTGGGATTCAACGGGTGGCTTCCAAGCCTCTTTGGAGACCCCAGCGGAGCTTTTGGAGAGGCCAAGAGGGAGGGAGGGAGGGAGGGAGGGGGAAGTAGCCACATGATTCTCTCCCAGGAGTTCTCTCTTAAGAAGGTCTGGGCTTCTACTCTCTCATTCTCAGGGGTTTGGGTTCAGGAAAGGCAGATTCCAGTTGCGCTTCCTAAGCAAACAAGCAGTTTGATAGTGGAATCCGTGATGGAGGAGGGGGGCTCCCCTTCCTGCCAGCTACTTGAGGGGCTTAAGTTGGCTGCTTCTGAAATGGATCATTAATCTGGATTCATGCACAAAGTAGGAGTTGGACTAATGGCTTTGATGGCTCCTTCCAAGACTACGATTCTGTGGTCATTGGGGGGATTGTAAATGGGGTGGAAAAGGATCCGCTAATCTGTGACACTCGGAGTCTGTTGGCAACACTTTGCTACTCTCCCAAAATCATACGCGGGCGGTGCTCCCCCGTGATTGGCTGCTCTCCCAGACTTTCAGATGTGGGAATCATTTTCCTCTGATTCAGGGCTGAGTGGGGGGAAACTCAGCATGCGTCTTGTCCTCCTCTGCTATGCACTGTTGAACAGCCTGTGGGCAATTCACGTTTTCTTCCCAGCAAAACGAGCTTCCATAGATGATCAGGTTTTCAGTTCCTAACTTCCCGGCCCGTATTTTTTTTCTCTTTTAGCGAAACCATCATGTTTTTACACCAGATCTTCTACCAGGGCTTAAAAGCACGCATCTCTAGTTGGCCAACCTTGGTGCTTGGTGAGTGTAAAGAAATTGGCTGTTTACCCTGTTGGAGATTAAACCGGACACGTAGGGCCTTCAGCAAAGTGCACGGGGCCTGCTTTCCAGGCACCCAGAGAGGTGGGGGTGTGGGGGGGAGTTCACCACTCCATTTCCTTCTCCCCTCCTCGTGGCCAGGCTGCCAATCCAGGCAAACGGGGTATTCCTTGGTTTGGGAAGGGAGATTCTTCTGCAGCCAAGATCTGTTGTACTTTTCAGATCTTGGATCTTGGATGCAGATGGTGCCTCCTGGGCTATAAGGATCCACACACACACACACACACACACACACACACACACACACACACACACACACACCTGTTTGCCAGTGTGGAGTGGAGTCCATCTACCCTTGACTCAGTCAGGAGAAAGTGGTGCCGGCATGTTCACCCCTCTTCTGGCTGAGCTCCATGGTGTTGCCTGCACTGCACCTGAGGCGGTCCCTGCCAAATGTCACATCCAGATTTGGAATATGTTGCATGTGACAAGCAAAGTGGCTGCCCCCTCCCCACCATTTTCCTTCTCGGGTTCTCATCCACCCATCGCACTATTTCAGCAGGAGGGTATGTGTGGGACAGGGGAGTCCAGTGGAGAACCTCAAGAGCAGAGGTGGCATTCAGCAGGTTCGGACCAGTTCTGGAGAACCGGTAGCGGAAATTTTGAGCACTTCAGAGAACCGGAAAATCCCACCTCTGACTTTTACAGTATCCTTCCCCTGCCATGCCCACTAAGCCACACCCAACAGAACCGGTAGTAAGAGAATGTGAACCCCACCACTGCCTAGCCCCTTTTGCAGGTCTCCTCCCCCCCCCCACCCCCCCCCCCCGGTAACAAGGCTCAAAAAAGGGCTTTCCAAAGAGATGGGACTCCTGTTCCCAGGGCCCCTTTGGGCTTCTCCGCCTTCCTTTCCTTCCTTTGATGCTTCCAAATTCAGCAGGGCTGGCTGGGAAAGGGGCCTTATTCATCAGTGGTACATTATTGGCGGCAAAATAGGCAGGGGGCACCAGGGTGGTTCTTCTCGTGGTTCTCAGGACACTGTAAGCCCCCTCCTCGTCTAGAAGACGATCTGCCTGGCTCGGGGGCGCCCAGGACCGAGAAAGAGGGGTCTGGAGTGGAGCTTCACTTCCTCCACCCGAGCTCTGGTCCCAGGGAGAACCAGCCCAGAGGGCAGCCGGGAGGGGAGTGAGGTCTCCGATTGACCCCGTCGCCTCCCCATTGGACATTGAAAAGACGTGAAAGGACACCAATGGGATGGGGCTCCGCCCTGCACCCTCAGTCCGAGTGTCCCCCCCACCCGGGGACATGCAGTGGCCAAGCCCTCTGCCCTGCCAAGGAGTTTGCCCCCCGCCCCCCCCCGCAGTGGGAGAGACTCGGCCGCCTGCCTGGCCTGCCTCCCCCACCCAGCTGCTCACTGCCTGCCTGCCTTTGCCCGCAGCGGACCTCTTCGACATCCTCCTGCCGATGCTCAACATCTACCAGGAGTTCGTTCGGAACCACCAGTACAGCCTGCAGATCCTGGCCCACTGCAAGCAGAACCGGGATTTCGATAAGCTCTTGAAGCATTATGAGGCCAAGCCCGACTGTGAGGAGCGGACCCTGGAGACCTTCCTGACCTACCCCATGTTCCAGGTGAGGCTGTGGGGCACAAGGTCAGCCTGGAGGAAGCCCCACGCGGGGTCCTGGAAAGGCCACCCTGAAGGCTGGACACAGATGCCTCAGCACCCACTCAGTCCCTGGTTCTCTCCTCCCTTCTGTCTCCACCAGATCCCCAGGTACATCCTGACTCTGCACGAGCTGCTGGCCCACACGCCCCACGAGCACGTGGAGAGGAACAGCCTGGACTACGCCAAGTCCAAGTTGGAGGAGCTCTCCAGGTCAGAGTGGCTGAGGGCTGCCTTGCGGGGAGGGGGCAGCAGAAGGCGGGCAGCAGGCCCCCGTGTGCCCAGGGCCCCCTCAGCACCCACCACCGAGGGCCCTTGGCAGAGAAAGTCCTCTCCTCCATGTCGTCCCCGGCCTCCCTTTTCTCAGCTGCCCAAGGAAACCGGCGAGAGAGTCCGCTTGAGGAAGGGTCTCTCAGGGGGGCTTTTACGGCATGAAGATCCATTTGGTTTCCAGCCGGTGCTCTGAGTCCTGCCCTCCGACTCGGTTTACCCTGCCCAGAGTTCTGGTGCTGATCTCCATGAGGGAGTTGTGTGTTTTAAGAGCCGCTTCCTGCCGCCTGGTTCTCTCCAGATGGGTTGGACTACAGTGCCCATAACTGGCAGGCATTGGGTCAGTGTAGCTGGCGGGGGGCAGGGGGTGCGCAAGGCTGGAGAAGCTGATCCAAGCAATGGTCTCCCCACCATGCAAAGGCTTTCAAGCATTCTGAATTTCTCACATCCTTGTATAATTATCACTTTGGGAAAAATAAGCAGCCACGTGCACTTAAGCAGAAACACAGAGTACAGGAGGTGTGAAGCAGATAATGACAAGGCAACATATGTTATTTTAGAAATGCAGAGACGTTTCCTCCAAAATGCCTTTCAGGGAGGAAAAATGCTCCCCGGAGAGCTTCAGAGAGGCTTATTTTTATCAAGGCTCCATCACCACCACACCAACCGGAAGCTCAGCTCCCTCCAGGAGCCCCTCGGCGCCCCCAGAGTGGGTCCCGTGGCTCCCCGGCTCCCTTTGAGGCGAGGTCCCAGGGGGGCTGCCTCCTTTGCCCCCAGGGCCTCTGGGCTGGGCCTCTCGGGCTCTTCTCCGGCCAATCCTTCCAGTCGGCTGACCCTCTTCCTTTTTTAAACAATTAATGTTTATTAAAGATGGATCATTAAACAATTTTATTAAATATTTTTGCTAACTAAAAACAATACAGATTTTTTTTAAAAAAAAGCAAAGTCAAAGGTGACAAGTAATTAGGAAAAAAGAGCCAAAAAAGAACAAAGGTTACAAAGAGGTTTCTGATCTTCTTTACAGCAGTTATAAATGCATTTATATTGTGTCCTCTCACTCTAGAACGATCACTTCTTTCCATTTTATGCCCTTTCTAATCATCAAATCCCCGAATTGCAGGTCCATCCTTTCTGCTTTCAGCCAAAAGCCTTCCATAAAAGGTTTCCAATCTTTGACCAATGTCATTTGTCTTTTCCCTGATCAAAGAAGTCAGTTTGGCCATCTCTGCCCTCTTCACCAACCTCCCTCCCTCCCTCCCTTTGGGGCATTTCAGAGTCTTTCCATCTCTGGCCCCAAATAATCTCGCTGCAGCTGCCAGGTAGAAAACCCACCTTCAGAGGCCTTTCCGAGTGGACCGTCCAGCAAGAAAAAACCTGGTTTCAGGCCGACCGATCTCTTCCCCCGCAGGATAATGCACGATGAAGTCAGTGAAACAGAAAACATTCGGAAGAATTTGGCGATCGAGCGGATGATTACGGAAGGCTGCGAAATCCTCCTGGACACCAGCCAGACCTTCGTGAGACAAGGTAGCCCAGGCGCCTTCTGGCCGCCCCCAGACCTCCAGAAAGGGCTGGGGGGTCGGCAGTTCCTCTTTCTCAGGCAGCCCAGGGGCCTGTCTGGAGATGTTCCAGGCTGGGGGGGTCAGGACCAGAGTTATGGAAGCTAAAAAGCTGCCTCCTGACGGACGGCCATCGAGGAATAGCCCCCTTCCTTTCAGGGGCTGCCTGTCACCAGGCCCACGGAGGGATCCCCTGGGAAAAGGCTCCCCAAAGTGACATGATGAGGGGTTCCTCTGAGAGGAAGGCAGCCTGGCTGCTGCTGCTGCTGTTCATGGCTGGGAGGGTGAGCAGCACACGGCACCTGCTTGACCTGTGAGGCCATTGCAGGAGGTTTCCAGTCTTCGCAGGTCCCTCCTCTGTCCACCCAGACTGGCTCTGAAAGCCCTGGGCCTCGGCTTGGGCTGCCCGGGGTCCCCACCACAGGCTGCCCCCTGGGGCCGAGGGCTGTGACGGCACTGCCTCTTCCCCCCCCCCCGCAGGGTCCCTCATCCAAGTGCCAATGTCTGAGAAGGGGAAGGTGACGCGTGGACGGCTGGGCTCCCTGTCCCTGAGGAAGGAGGGGGAGAGGCAGTGCTTCCTCTTCTCCAAGCACCTGATCATTTGCACCCGGGGCTCCGGAGGAAAGCTGCACCTGACGAAGGTGAGGGAGGCAGAAGTGTTCCTCTTCTACATCCGGTGTGTGTGTGTGTGTGGGTGTGTGTGTGTGTGGAGCACTGATCTCCAGCCTCCCAGACTGAAGGCCACACAATCCTCCCAGAAGCTTCTGCACAGTGAGGGAGGAGCCCACCCACCCCCGGTCATGGCTGGAGGGTGCGCCTGGCAGAGGGTGAATGAGCCTCCCTGGAGCCCTGGGGGAGACGGAGCAGGAGGGCCAGGGAGCCGTGGGGATACGAGGGGCTCTCACGTAAGCCCCCCCCCCTCTGCTTTCTCCAGAATGGCGGTGTGATCTCACTCATTGACTGCGCGCTGGTGGAAGATACGGAAAGCACAGATGAGGACCGTACGTATCCCTGGAACACCCCAGCTGGCACGGGCTCTTCCCTGGTTCCCCGCTGCCCCCTGCAGCCTTAGCAGCCCTGGGCTTCCCTGGGTCCCCCTAAGCCTTGGGCCCTTACGCCCTCTCTGCTCCCCCCATGATGCCTACCTCCCTGGGAGTAGGGGGGGGTCCAGAGAGAGTCTGCCTCAGGAAGAGGCTGCCTGGCTGCCACTCCCCCCATCTCCCTAGAGCAGGAAGCCAAGACAAGGGCAGCCGGCAGCTCTACGAGGAGGAGGAGACCAGCAGCCTTCCCGGGTGTTTCCCACGGCTAAAGGAACGCTTTGGATGCCTCTGTTCATGACCCTGGGAGAGGGCTGCTATGTGGAGGAGGGGGACATCTCCCTCTCAGAATAAGAGAGTTGGAAGGGACCCTGGAGGTCTTCTAGTCCAACCCCCTGCCTAAGCAGGAGATCCTATATCATTTCAGACAAGTGGCTGTCCAGTCTCTTCTTCAAAGCCTCCAGTGATGGAGCGCCCACAACTTCTGGAGGGAAGCCGCTCCACTGGTGAATTGTTCTCACTGTCAGGAAATGTCTCCTTAGTTCTAGGTTGCTTCTCTCCTTGACTGGTTTCCATCCGTTGCTTCTTGTCTTGCCTCCGGGTGCTTTGGAAAATAGGTCGACCCCCTCTTCTTTGGGGCAGCCCCCCCAATACTGGAACACTGCTGTCACGTCACCCCGAGTCTTCCTTTTTATTAGACCAGACGTACCCAATTCCTGCCATCGTTCTTTGTATGTTTTAGCCTCTAGTCCCCTCACCATTTTTGTTGCTCTTCTCTGCACTCTTCCCAGAGTCTCAGCACCTTTTTACATCATGGTGATCAAAACTAGAACCAATATTCCAAGCGTGGTGTTACCAAGGTTTTATAAAGCAGTATTAACACTTCACATGATCTTAATTCAGTCTTTCGATTAATGCAGCCGAAGATTGCATTGGCGTTTTCAGCTCCTGCTGCACAATGTTGGCTCATATTTAAGTGGTTGTCCACTAGAACCCCAAGACCCCCCCAAGTACTGCTATCACACAAAAGGGTGGCTGCTGCGCATCGAAGGAGCTGCCCTTCCCATCCCTAAGCGGGTGAAAAGGACCAAAAGGAGCCTCCTGTTGCACAAGCTGGAGGCTAAAGGCCCAGCCCAGCTTATTCCCTTCCTTTCCCTCCCGCCATGCTCTCTCTTCCCATGATCATCTTCTGAAATTGTTTCTCTCCTTCCTCAAATAAAAACGAAAAGGATCTGGGCAAGATACGGAGCACCTTGACTTCAAGATCGTGGTGGAACCTAAAGACACGGCACCGTACACCATTATCCTGGTGGCATCATCCAGGCAAGAAAAGGCTGCGTGGACCAGCGACATCAGCCAGGTGAGGAAAGGAGAAGAATTTACCGTAGAAGAATTTACACTTTCCCTCCAGCCGGGGTTAGGGAGGTTAGGACCTGGGGCTGTAGAAGAATCTTTCACTCTTCTTCAACCTGCAAGGCATCCTTGGGACTAAATCAAAGACGAAGAATCCTGTTGGGAAGAGGAAGTAGTTGCCAAATGAACCAACACTTACAAGAGTCCCAAAGATCCACTGGGAAAACCAGGAGAGCACAACTGCTTCCCGTCCTATATCCTTCCTGCTTCCTGAAACCTCTTTTCCCTGTTTCAGTGTGTAGACAACATCCGATGTAATGGTCTGATGATGAACGCCTTCGAAGAAAATTCGAAGGTGACTGTTCCGCAGATGATCAAGTAAGGAATGCAGTTGTGTTTGTCTAGAGTTGTTGGGGGTATTTTTTGGTGCAACCCCTGATTTATCAAGTCTTCCTGCCAACAAAACCATTGATAACACAGGGAGCTGGCACTACAACTTCTTCTGGGTCAATTGCTCTATTTTGAATAGCAGGGTGTGGACTGTGCTCCAGAACTAGGTGAGGCCAGGGCAAAAACTGTGGCACGTGTATCTTTTCAGGCAATGCTCACCAATGTCCCGCTGGCCTGAACCTCAGAGAGATGGAGAGAAAACTGGATGGGATGTTTTGGCTGGAGCCAAAAGGCCTTTTAGAATAACAGAATAACAGAGCGGGAAGTTACTTGAAGTTATATCAATTTCACTAGCAAATGAACGCAATTTAAAAGAAAGAAATGAATTAACTACCTCTGGATTGTTACCTATTATTTAATAATGCTGTAAAACATTTTGGGATTTTCTGTAATGAGAAGGACTCGTGGACTCCTTTCCAAACGGTGCCTCTGCACCTGGACTCCAAGCCCCCGCCCCCCCTCCAACCCTCGGAGGTTCACGCCACTGAGCATCTCTGGTGCCTGGAAAGACACAGGAGCCGCCACAGGTGAGGTCGGTTGGCTGTGCTTCTTCTCTCCGTCCCTCTCTCCATTCTCCAGGTCAGACACCAGCCTGTACTGTGACGACGTCGACATTCGATTCAGCAAGACCATGAACTCCTGCAAAGTCCTCCAGATCCGCTATGCCAGCGTGGGGCGTCTGCTGGAAAGACTGACAGACCTGAGATTCCTCAGCATTGACTTTCTCAACACCTTCCTGCACTCGTACCGAGTCTTCACCACGGCTATGACGGTGCTGGATAAGCTGATCACAATCTACAAGAAACCGATCAGTGCGATTCCTGCTAGGTGAGTCTTTGGCAGCCACATGGGTGAAGCTCAAACCAGGCAAATGAGGCTGAGAGGAGAGGGAGGAAGAGGGAGAGAGGGAGAGAGGGGGGGAGACAGAGACAGACAGGTAGAAAGAGAGAGAGATGGGGAGGGAGGGGGGAAGGAGAGAGAGAGAGAGACAGAAGGAGAGAGGGAGGAGAGGGAGACAGAGACAGACAGATAGAAGGAGAGAGAGAGAGACAGACACAGAAAGAGAGAGAGAAAAGGCAAAGGAGAGGGAGGGAAAGGGAGGGGGAGAGAGGGAGACAGAGACAGACAGACAGAAGGAGAGGGAGAGATTGAGATGAGCTTTGTTTGGTCTGAGGGACATTTTATAGGACATCTGGGGCGTCTTGCTTTAGTGAGGTGAGAGCTACCAAGGAGCCTCCTGCCTACTTGTGGTTCTTGAACTAGATCAAGTGTGGCATGGCTATCTAAATTGCCAGGTAAGATAACTTCCTAAAGAAAGGCAGGCCAAATTCCATATGAAACAGACCAAACAGGATCCAAAAGTCATGAAAAGCAGCTCAAGTCTAGAGACCACCTTTGGTGGGAGGGGGGGGGATGAACCGCAGCCCCTCAGCTCTGGATCTCCTCCATCCCTTCTGCTGATTCACCTGCATCTCTTGGCGAAAGAAGAGACCTGGGGAAAGGTGGCCTTGACCCCATATTTTTTGAACTGGCTCAAACTGGTCAAATTCTATTCCAAGGGGATTTGGGGCTCACGCTCTTCCCTCGGGAGACGGTGGGAAGCCCTGTGGTGTTTGGGGAATTCAAGCCCTTGCGTAGAGGAGGAGGAGGAAGGAGGCGCCCCAGTGAAAGCTTTGTCCCTGAATGTCTTCCACCAGGTCCCTGGAGCTCTTGTTTGCCAGCAGCCAGAACACGAAACTCCTCTACGGAGAGGCCCCCAAGTCTCCACGCGCCAACCGGAAGTTTTCCTCCCCTCCCCCTCTGTCCATCACCAAGTCATCCTCACCAAGCCGGAGGAGGAAGCTGTCTTTGAACATCCCCATCATCACGGGAGGGAAGGCCCTGGAGCTGGCCGCCCTGAGCTGCTCTCCCAACGGTTATGCCAGCATGTATTCCTCCACCATGTCGCCCTTCAGCAAAACCACCCTGGACATCAACAAGCTCTACGTGTCCGGCAGCTACTCCAATAAGATCTCCGATGAGGGAGAAGCGGGCCCCGAGAAGGCCGAGGAAGCGCTTCTGACCAAGACAGGTGAGCGAGTGCAAGAGACGGTCAGGAGGAGCCCCAGAGGGATGGCTTCAGCTTCCGCCCTCTGCCCACCCGGGAGCCCCAGAGCCACACAGGGGGTGGGGCTCCCTCTCTTTGCACACGCCAGGCTTAGTGGGAAGGTGCCAGGTGGGCAGTGAGAATTCATGCCCCCCCCCCTTAAAAAGGTCTCAGGAGACAGGCCAGCCTGGGAAGAGGTTTGGACGACCTTCTCAAGGGCCGGCCTGGCCACCGCAGGGCTCTGGATTCCGGGGGCTGCTTTCAGCATCGGGTTAATTTCGGTGAAGAGATCTGGCAGACCGAAGCGAATGGCTTCTACCCCAAATACCTGGGTGACTCTGCTGAAAGGGCTGACAAGTACGGCATGGTTGTCCCCCTGGCCTTCAATGCCTCCTCCTCCTCCCCCTCCTCCCTTCTTCCTCCTCCTCCTCCTCCTCTTGCTCCTCCCACAACTTGCCCGTCAGGAGCATTGGGGAGAAATGTCTAACGCTGCTGCTGCTGCTTCTGCCAGGCTCCGAGGAGTCTCCCCGAGAAGATTCGGCCTTTGAGGCAGCCCCGAGTGAGGACGCAGACCCAGAGGCATCGCCCACCAAGTCTCCCACAACCCCTAAGCTGGTCAGAGGCAAGAACTCCTCAGGTAAGCTGGCTGTGGGGGAGGGGCCCCCGAGAAGCCCCCTTCCCTCTGGGCTGGGAGCCTCTGTGGGTGGGGCTGATCCTGGCCCCCATGGAGGTGCAAAGGGTCCGTATCAGCCCTTGGGGGCTGCTGTTTTCCCCGGTGGGCAGGGATTCTGGTCCCCCTGGGGAAGCCACGGGAGAGACTGGCCACATGGGATCACCCCCCTGAATTGCCTCCCTTCCCCCCCCCCCATGCAGAGTTCCCTTTGTTCTCCTACAACAATGGAGTGGTGATGACCTCTTGCCGAGAGTTGGAGAACAGTCGCAGCAGTGCTCTCTCGGCCGCCTCTGCGTTTGCCATTGCCACGGCCGGAGCCAATGAGGGGACCCCAACCAAAGAGAAGTACCGCCGAATGTCGTTGGCCAGCGCAGGTGGGAGAAGAGGAAGGGTCGTCCTCTGGGCCGGGTGGTTCCTGGGCCCCGCAAACCTTCCGGGGAGCCTTGGAAAGGCTGCTGCCTGCGGGAGGAGGCCAGGCAATGGCTGGAGCCCTCTTCCAGGGCAGGGCAGGCCATAGAGCCTGACCCCTGGGTGGGTGGGTTCCCAGGCTGACTCTCTCCCCCCTGCAGGCTTCCCTCCTGACCAGAGGAACAGCGACAAAGAGTTTGTGATCAGGAGGGCAGCCACCAACCGGGTACTCAACGTCCTGAGGCACTGGGTCTCCAAGCATGCCCAGGTAGGGTTGGGGGTCCTTTTGTGATCCCCCCGGGCTGCAGGGGGCTGTGCTTGCCTGACCAGCTGGGCCTCACTGGGGCTCGTGGCCAACCTCCCTTTGACAGGACTTTGAAACCAAGGAGGAGCTGAAGTATAAAGTGATCAGCTTCCTGGAGGAAGTGATGCACGACCCAGAACTCCTGACCCAAGAGAGAAAAGCCGCCGGCAACATCATAAGGCAGGTCAAAAGGCGGGGCGGTCGTCTCACTCTTGCCACAGATCCGGGGGTCTTAATGCAAGGCAGGGAGGGGGCTGTGTGGGAACCGGTCTGGTTGCCCCAAATGCTGCCCTTCTTTGGGCCGTTGGCTCAGGGCAAGTGTCTGGTCTCGCGGCCTGACTTTCCGATGGAAGGGAGAGGGTGTTTGGGGCGGCTTTGCCTTCCTTTGGTGTGAGGGGAAGAGACCCCCGTGATCCCTGTCCCTGGGGCTCCGTATGGAGAAGCCCTCGGCTTCCACACAGGCCTCCCCCGGAATCAGCGGAAGCCTCCCCGTTTTTGTCCCTGGAAACTCACGGCTGCGCTTCTCCCTTTCTACCTGCCTGCCAGGACCCTGACCCAGGAGGACCCCGGAGACAACCAGATCACCCTGGAAGAGATTCTGCAAATGGTAACGTCTTCTGGGGTCCCTAAGTGGGGTCACAAAGAAGCCTGCGTTGGCTTGGTTTGTCGCCTAAACTAGGAGCCCGTCGCATTTCGGAGCCAACGCTGGGCTTGATAGGCCACAATGCGAGCCCAGTATAACCATCACAGTGCAATTGTGAAGATTGGCATAAAGTTGAGGCGTTATGGACTGTTGGGGGGGGGGAGGTTGTTGTCTTCTAGCCACCTCAAAAGGGAAGGTGGGAAGGTGAAGCCAGAAGGTCAGCCACTGAAGCCTTGGTGTGGCCTGAGCCCCACTGAGGCCCCAAGAGCCGTTTCAGAAGTCTGATGAAGATCTCCACGATCTTCCCTCCTTGGAGGCCTTTGGGTTGCACCAAACTGTGACCTCTTGAGCCTCCTCAGCTTGAGGCTGCTTCTTGGTAGCAACCATGGAAGCAGGTCAGAAATTTGGGTCTCAGCCATCAGGGAGGGGATCAGGGGGCAGGTCAGATGGGCTCTTGTAGTGGAAAGTTCTCCTGGCCACAGCATGCACTTCACCTCTTGATCCACTCCCCCCCTATGTGCCCCCCCCACTAAATATTTGGTGCTGCTTCCTTCATATATGGTCTGGGGGGTGCAGAAGTGCAGTTGGAGCTGCTGCCTGTGGACTGGAGTGTCCTACCCTTTGGGGTTCCTGGCCTGGGCGTGACCCCCTTCCCTCCCCAAGAACAGGGAGAGGCTGAGTCTGTCAGGATCCGGCTCACTCTGGCCAGCCTCTCTGAGCAGGTTCTTTGGCTTCACCTTCACCTGGGGACCCCCATCCAAGCAGTCCCTTCTCCTCTCGTTCCAGGCTGTGGGGGTCAAGGCAGAACCCTTCGAAAATCACTCGGCTTTAGAAATAGCTGAGCAGCTCACCTTACTGGATCACCTGGTCTTCAAGACGATACCCTATGAGTGAGTACCGAGCTCTTTGACGCGCATTTGGGAGTGCAGCCAAGATGGAAGACGCAACGTTGCATTCAATGATGGTGGTGGGCTGTGTGTCCTCTGGGTGTTTTTGCAAGTAGAGGTCCGAACAAAGATGAAGATGAATGTGTCGTAGACCTCTGTCACCCCCATCACAATTCATGGGGGATTGTGGGAATAAGTCTGCCTCCCCACCACTTGCAAAGACCTTACGAGGAGACCCCCATTTCCTCCAGAACTTCCTGTGCAGGACAAGGTGGGCCAGGCAGGGAGAAATTCCGGAGAGGGCCCAGATCATCCCGAGACCTCTTGTTTTCAGGGAATTCTTTGGACAAGGGTGGATGAAGGTGGAAAAGAACGAGCGAACACCCTACATCCTGATGAACACAAAGCACTTCAATGACGTGAGTGCCGCTGCTGTGGATCCAAGTTTGGTGGGGCTTTGCGGGGGCAGCTCAGAATTCAGACTTTGCCCATTTGCAGAACCTGCAGTAACTTTGCAGGGACTCTTCTTCCTCTCGCTTGTCCAGATCCACCTTATCCTAAGGGTCCCCCGCTCCCATTGTAGCATGCATCCTGCACCCCTTAGCCAACTCATTAGAGCAAAGCCTTTGTCTATTTCCTTTGGTTGGCTGGTTGGGTTGTCTGTCAGGTCCTGACTGTTGTTGAGGTCCCTGTAGGGTCCTGGCCAGGGCTGGGGCAGGCCAGGAACCCTGAAAGACCCGTCCAAGTTCACTGCTGACCCAGGGGAAGCTTTGCGTGCCACTCTTTGCTGGAGCCCTTGGAGGACCAGGGCAGGCCTCTTCTCAGGGCCCCACCCTCCTGTCTCCTGGGCGTTTCATGGAGTGGCGTTCTGGGATTTGCAACGTCATCAAGAATAACAATATTGAGCTGCCATTTCTAAAAGAAAGAAAGAAAACTCAGACGTTGACATTTTAATTTCATTTTGGTGTATGTGAAGTCTTGTAAGCCCCTTTTGTATAAGGCAAAGCGCCCTCAAAGGCAAGTTGAACATAGTTTACATAAACCCTACCGGATTGCAAGTTCAGGAAATGTTGCTCATAGACTCTTCGTATGCCAACACCCCACCCCCACACCCCACCCCCACCTGGAAAAACCAGCCTGCCCCCACAGATGTGCTCCCCTCCAAGGCCGCTGCCCCCCGTGAGTCAGAAGCTGCCTTTGCCCGTGTGGATTTGGGGGGGGGCAAAAGTGCCTTCATCCCTCATTCGGATTTTAGTCCCCAAAGTCTTCCCTTTTTGTCCAGGATAGGTGGGCAAAAGAGGATTTTCAAAGATCTTTCTTCATTCATGTGAGAAGCACCTACAACTTATGGACATATAACATTCAACACTATTTCAAATAAGTTTAAAATAAGACCATAGAAATATAGTAAAAAGTATATAAATAAATTGGATGAAATCTAGATGCCATCCGCCCCGTCTTGGGCCACGTCGACAGCACTTTCCCTCGTCAGCATGACACCTTCCTCTGCCTGCCTGGAAGGGTCTCGCCTCTGCAGCAGCCCTTGTGGGGTGAAGCCAGGCACAGGCTCTTCTCGAGGGAAGCCCCACCTCCTTAGATTGTCCCTTGGCCTTCCCACCCCGGTGCATACCCTCTTCAGCAATCTCCATGCAGGGCAGGTGGCAGGCAGTTGCAGGGTTGTGCCCGGAACTGGCGCTTTCCTTCTGCTGCGGGCAGAGAAGACGAGGGGCAGCCTTGCCCACCAGTGCGTGTTTGAGCGTCCCTCTGCCTGGTCTCCCCCTCTCTCTTTGGAGGCGAGGGGCTTTTCTTATCATTTGGGGCTGCACCCTTCTGGGGGCTGTAATGTCCACCCTCCGCTCCCTGACAACCCCTGCAGATCAGCAACCTGATCGCCTCCGAGATCCTCCGCAGTGAGGACATGGCTGCCCGGGTGAGCACAGTCGAGAAGTGGGTGGCTGTGGCCGACATTTGCCGCTGCCTGCACAACTACAACGCTGTTCTGGAGATCACCTCGGCCTTCAACCGCAGTGCCATCTTTCGCCTGAAGAAGACTTGGATGAAGGTGTCAAAGCCGGTGAGGAGCCCACTGCCAAGGCTGCGCAATCAGGATGGGGGGCCTTGGGGAGGGGATTGCGCCACGGGGGCCCTCCTGTACACACCTCGTTCTCCTGCTTTTCTGGGAAGGGGATCCTAATCTTGTGTGTTTGCAAACTTCAGGAAGCCTAGCTGGCTGGTTTTTGAGCCCCTTTGCAGCTTTGGGTTATGGTGTCCTTCTGGAAAGAGCAGTGCCGTCTGCCCCACTGGACAGGTTTTCAAGGGTGATGTTTACCAGCCAGGGTGTCTCTGTGACTTCAAAATTGTGGTCCCAAAGAGGGAGGTTGCAAGCAGGAAGCCGTCGTGTACACGGGGGTGGCTTTACTCCTTCAGCCACCCAGAAAATATGCCAAGATCCATCTTCCTCAGCCTCCATTGAATTGCCTTGTCCCTGAGAGTGGTAAAGCCCCCATTGCCCACACCAACAGCGTCTGTGTGGCTCAACGGCTTCTGAAGCTCTTGCCACTTCCACCCTTTCGGCTGGTGCAGAGTGTCTAGCGGTCCTTTTGTGGTGCTGATTCTTACAAGGCCCACTGGCTTCATTCGGGGCCCGTGAGTCTTTCCCCATTTCTCCGTTGCCCCATCTGGGCTATCCTCCCCCCCCCCCCTCCCAGGACTGGCCACGAGAGCTCCCACCCCCAGCAGAGTTCACCGGTCACCTGGCCGTTCCGCTTTTTCTTCCCCTGACCACAACGATGCGAAGAGCAATCAGAGCCTCTGGGAGCACTTAACTCCTGGGGCAAAGCCTCTTCTTGCCAAGCTGCTTCAGGCTCCTCGTAGTGCCAGGAGAAGCCCCCGCCGGCAGGGCCCTTAGCAGCTCTCTGCCCCCAAAGGAGGGGACTCTTTCTTTCACCCCTAATGAACCTGTTGGCCATTGCATTCCCCTCCCCTCCCCCCGCCACTTTAATCCTTCTTCTTCCTGGACTTATTGTTTGATTGTGGCTCCTTGGTGCTCTCTCTGAGGTGGGTTGCTTGCTTGCAGGCGTTTCATCACCTGACTAGGTAACCTCATCAGTGCCCATCATGTTGTTTGATCATCAGGCTCTGCAAGGCCGCCATGGGCTCAAAGGCGTTTCCATCTCACCGTTCTGACTCCCCCTTGGAAAGGCCCTTTGGCCCAGGCCCCCTTCCCCCCTTGGCTCCTCTAACTCTTCCCTTTCTCCCCAGACCAAAGCGGTGATTGATAAGCTGCAACGGCTGGTGTCTTCGGAAGGACGGTTTAAAAACTTGAGGGAGGCTCTGAAGAAGTAAGTTGCCCCTGCTGCTCACGCGTGTGGATCGGAGGGGCGGGAGGCTCTTGCCCAGCCTGGGCAGCTGGTGCCTGGCAGAAGTACCAGGCAGACTCCTGGCAGGCCAAGAGGGCCCAGCCCTGCCCACGTAGAGGCTGCCATGGCAAGAGCCGGGCACGTGGCCAGCAGGAGGCTGAGGGCTGGCAGGTAGGGGAGCTCCGCCTGCCCCACCAGCTGCCCCACCCAGCACCCTCGGCAGGGAGGGGGCGGTTGGGGGGCTGCCAGGCCTTGGGATGCCTCTGACCGAGCAGGGTCCCGTCTCGCTGCAGCTGCTGCTGAGGCAGAACAGGCCACCCTGGGTGGTCCAGCTCCATCCCAAACAGCAGAGAGAGGGAAGAGAGGTGTGTGTGTGTGGGGGGCTTTCTCCTAGCTTTGGGTGGCAGCCCCGTTAACTGCTCGTTTGCCTCATTCCTAGAGGGGGTTGCAGGGAGACTGACCTTGTTTGGCAAAAGCTTGTAAAATCTGGCTGAGGGTTTTAAGCGACAGCGTTTCAGAGTTTCCCACTTCAAAAGATGGGGGAGTCCTAGCATGCCTTTAGCTTTTGTGGGGCAGATGCCCAGGGGTGTGGGGGCCCTCATCCCTGTGCTGGAAGGTAGCAGCAGCAGTGAGTGACATCCGGCTGGGGATTCCAGAACTCCTAAAGGTTATTTCAGTCTTGGTGACTCAAGCAAAAGTCTGCAGACAAGCAAATGCTGGGACTTGGCTTGCAGCTTAGATGTGGCCAAAAGAACCAGGACAATGTAAGGCAAATACCTCCTCCTGCGGCCAAGTCTCCTGACCCAGAGAGCATGTGGAAGCATAGGGACCAAACAGGCTGCTTGTCTTTGGGAAGCAGCCCTGTTGCCTTTGTCCCGCCAACTGAGCTTCTCTTTTCTGCCCCTCAGTTGTGACCCGCCTTGTGTCCCTTACCTGGGCATGTACCTCACGGACCTGGCATTCATTGAAGAGGGCACCCCCAACTACACGGAGGATGGCCTGGTGAACTTCTCCAAAATGAGGATGGTGAGCTCCCTGGCAGGGGCACCGAACTGCCCTCCCCCGAGCAACTGCCTGCCTGACTTTGCCATAACACCCCCAGCGTGGTGCTCCCCCGTCCCGTCCCTTCTCCCTGGGCCCACCGCCTGCTCTTTGGCAGCCTTTCGGCACAGGCACCTCCTTCCTCTCTCCCTGCAGATCTCCCACATCATCCGAGAGATCCGGCAGTTTCAGCAGACGGCCTACAAGATCGAGCATCAGGCCAAGGTAGGATCCTCGGGGAGGGTCCTCTGGGAGAGACCCTCTTGGCCTCGGCCTCTTCTGCCCCTGCCCTTCTCTCTCTTCCAGGTCACTCAGTACCTCCTAGACCAGTCGTTTGTGATGGACGAAGAGGGTCTCTACGATGCCTCTCTGAAGATAGAGCCGAAGCTCCCCACCTAAGAACAGAGCGGCTGCACCCACCGGCTGCCTCTCCTCTCGGTCTCTTCCTCCCACGGCCTTTCCTCCCTGCCCCCACCCAATGCTTGCACTGTCCACAGGCAGGCTTGGCTCTGATCAAGCCTATTTTCTTCTTCGTTGACTCTTGGGAGCAACTGGACTGGAGGATTCCGGACTGGGGCACCGAGTTGCCCCACTTGCCCTGGAGCCCCAATTTTCCTGGCTTCTATACGCTGCCCTCAGGCTCCCGTAGTGTGGAAAACTCGGCCTCCAACTGAGCTACTTTGGACGTTCTTTGGCTTTTCCAGAGAAGCTTTGATGGCTTCCATTTTGCCAGGATTGTTGTGTTCTCTTCGGAGCCCATGCCCAAGGCAGGCAGGGAGGCTGGCACAGCAGAAGGCACCCATGGTTGGGTTTCCTGGTTCACACCTCCCATCCGTATTTGGGGGCACAGGGCTCCTCCAGAGTTCCTGGAGCCGGTTGGCTTGTGCAAGGAGAGCTCGGGACACCCCCGTGGGACTCTGGGCCTCATATGGCAGGCCTGGGGGGCGAGGGTTAAAGGCCATTTGGACTTCCTGCCTTAGGCCCTGAAAGGGGGAGGCCCTCTGTTCCTTTGAGCAATTCTACTGCAACCCCCCCCCCCCCCCACTTTGGCGCTTCTGTCTGTATGCTTCATTGTAGACATAGTGACATGTCTTAGTAACATGATGTACAATTAGAGGGGGAAATGGCCAGGTGTTTTTATTACATATACTGTAATCCTGTCTAACCACTTGCTAGCAGGAATATAGTAATGTAGTGCTTATTCTGTGAATATTATCATGTATTTTTTACAGTGTACAGTGTATAAACCCAAGTGAATTTTTGACTAGCAGGCATGCTCTATGGGAACTGACTTCAGAAACCTTTTGCTGTAAGCAATACCCTCTGGTATGAGAATTGTCTTTCAAGACCTGAAATATTTCAACCTGCAGCTTATTTGGAAAAGAAAATTTCCATTTTTTTTGTAAAAATATATGTTTCCTGATTACCTCTTGCTAATAAATTTATTCTATCTCAGGGTGAACCATGGCTTTGGACATGTGTGCAGACCAACCCGCAGGCTAGAGAGGCAAGTTTTAAAAGGAAAAAGGAGAAGAAGGTGGGTGGGAAGGGGGGGGAGTTTGTGCCTATCCAGCACAGCCCATTTCAGTTGGGAGCCTGGAGGAGGAGAGTTCCAGATTGCCATCTGGATGTGAAGCGCTGGCAGAGCCACAGAAGAGCAAACACAGCCCCAGTTTTCAGAAAGGGGGATGCTCATCTCTTTCTGGGAAACTCCAGGTACTTCGATTAAGACCTACTCCGGCCTGGTTGTGGGGCCACAGGAGCCTCACCGTGTTTTCAAGTGCAGCCTCCACTTCCAACCCACTCCCAGTCACAGCGATTCCTCCAAATGGAACTTCCTTGACTCCCAGGGCAAACTGGCAGCTGACCCACCAACATGGTAGCCTATTGAGCAGCTCTTCTCACAACGGAGAGAAAAACATTCCAACGTTGGATCAGAAATTGGATCAGAAATCCCCTATTTTGCAGCCATGCCACTCCAAAGCCCTCTCAAACCAGGTTCAGTTAAGGATGGAAATATGGGTAGAATCTATCAATCAGATTAGAGCTGGAAGGGACCTTGGGGTCTTCTCGTGCCCACTCCCCACTCCAACAGGAGACTCGATACCATTTCACACAAGGCTTCTTCAAAGTCTCCAGTGATGCACCAGTGATGTGTTTTGGAAAATAAATTGACCCCCTCTCTTTATGGCACCCTCTCAAATACTGGAATACTTCTATCATGTCCCTCCTAGTCCTTCTAGCCGAATCCAAATCCTGTCACCGTTCTTCAGATATTTAGTCTCCAAGCCTTTAATTATCTTCATTGCTCTTCTTTGCACTTTTTCCAAAGTCCCAACATCTTTTTTGTAATGTGGTGACCAAAACTGGATGCAGTATTCCAGGTGTGGTCTTACTAAGGCTTTATAAAGCGGTACTAATACTTCACGTGATTTTGATTCAATGCCTATTTATGCAAACAAGGATTGTATTAGCTTTTTTGACTGCTGCCACACACTGCTGACTCATGTTTAAGTGATCATTACCTTCACAGCCTCCATTTGTTTGCAGGTGATGACTGGAACTAAGCCCCTGGTTGTCCCTCAAAAGTTTTAAAAACTCTTTCCAGAGATTATTCCCCGTGGACCACTGTGCAGCTTATAGATATGTTGCATGAACAGTTTAGCCAGGAAGCATGCGGTTTCTGTTCAATATCCAGGCCTGAATAGCACCAAATTATTGGAAGGGGTCCAAACAATCCATTTAATCCAGGATTCTCCGAAGCTGCTATATAATTACCTTCTTTGCCACCTTCCCTAAAAAGAGGAGGTTGGATTGAGGACACAAATGGTCTAATATGGTAGGGTCTAGTAATGGCTTCTTGAGAAGGTGGACCAAGGCCTTTTAAGAGGCAGAGACCAACACCCTCCCTCAAGGATGAATTCACCACAGCCAGAATCTCCTGGACAACCTAGGCTAGCTGGGAAGGGCATGCATCTAAACAACAGGTGTTCAGGCTCACAGTTCCAAAGACCCCACCCATTTCCTCAGGTCCAACAGGAACAAGGCAGGACTGCATCCCAGGAGCCTCCAAGCGTCTGGCATCCAGCTGAAAGCAAATCTGAGTGATTTTATCTGACAAATATATACTCCTGTTCCAGGCAGTGACCAACCCCCCTGTAGGACCATGCAGCAGATTCTCAGGAATAAACCCCAATTCCAAGCTTCCAGGTGAGGACCTATGGCGAGTTAGACATCCTGTGAGTGGCTTTGTGAGCAGTGACAGCACAAAGTGAATTTAGGTTCTGGCTAACAAAAATATCTCCAGATGAGAAATTGGGGGTTAGCTCACTTGCAGCCTGGATAGCTGCTCCTAGTAAGAAGGCCACAGAAGTTTCTTGTGATCAATCATAAATTGAGCATTGTGTATGCTGAAGGTACATCTGTGTGACATTAACTGCTGTGCAGCCTTTATTTACATGTGTCAGGCTAAAAACTAACTTTCTTAAACATATTTGGCTATAATTAATTTACAACATGAGAGATATTCTGAACAGCGTGGAAGAATAAAGGTTCTTGGTGAATTGCCTTCTTTTTGGAATGGTACCTTAGAGGATTTTAATTTAAAAACAAAAAGCTTACAAAATTGTGATTTAATGAAGTTTTAAATGGACAAAGAGAACAATAATTTTAGAAAACAAGATTTTTTTTCAGATGGAACTACCTTTGATAATAATAAAGTTAATTAGACAAATAGACAGAATTTTGCAGGAATGCTGATAATTTATTACTAAGAGAAGTAGATAGTTGGTAGGTTTTGCAAAATAAACAGACAAGGGTGGGGCTGTATCTACAGAGAGTTAAAGAGACTAAAATGTTAAAGACAGATAAAAGCAAAGCAAAGAGGAAGCCTGCCTTTTATTTTTCGCTTGTAATTTACATTCTTTCAATTTGAATCTTTCAACCACAAGAAAAGTGCAAGAATAGCAGAAGGAATGAGAGATTCATTACCACAAACTACAGATGTGGATGTTTCAGCAGATGTATTGCAGAAAAAGTTTGAGGAAGTTGGCAAGAAGATGACTACAAGAGTTGTCAATAGTTTGGGAGAAGGATTTGCAGGAATAAAAAAAAGAATATGAAAGAAGTTAAGAAGACTGAAGAATCTATAGGATAATTGGCTGGAGATCTAGCGCAAATTATTAACAAAATGGTAACCTTGAAATGTAAGACAGAAGTTATAAATAGAGAAACAGAGAAAAATTTGGAGATTTTGGAATTAATGGAGCTGTGAGAGAAACATGATGTTTAAAATTTTGAACAGTTTCAGAACAACAGAGAAAATATTCCAAATATCAGAAAAAAGATTGTTAAAACTATGTAAGTTTCTGGATTGGGAGGAAGATGATATTAAAACAAGAGTCTGAGATAAGGTTTCTAACATGAATAATTTGGGAAATTAAGAAATGTTCTTATGCACTTCTCAGGAAGATGTTTTGTAGCATTTCAACACTAGACTGAGGTTGATAAACAAGAGGTAATTGTACTTAAGGCAATTCTAATTAATAATATTATAAGAGAAAATAGTGTTTTTTTTCTGGCAGAAACCCTTGAACAGAGGAAGGGTCCGTTTAGATGGGTTGTTGGAAGGGGTGATTTCTACTTTTAATTAGAAATTCAGACTGAATTCTGAAATTTGAAGAAGAATTGGAGGAAACATAAATGGAAGTGACAATGACAGAGGAGCCACAATATATTGGGGATGATTCCATGTTGGGCATTACAAGTATTGACTTTTAAAAAATCTTGGCCTAAATATTGATTATAAATAGCAATAGCACATATATACTGCTTCATAATGCTTTCCAGCCCTCTGAGCGGTTTACAGAGATAGCATATTGCCCCCAACAATCTGGGTGCTCATTTTACCAACCTCAGAAGGATGGAAGGCTGAGTCAGTCTTGAGCTGGTCAGGATCAAACTCCTGGCAGTGGGCAGAATCAGCCTGCAGTACTGCATTCTAACCACTGCGCCACCACAGTTCTTTAGTATAAATATAGTATGTATAAAGGTGTTGCAAATGAAAACATGAAGGGACATGTGAAGAAAATATAATTTTGGGGGGATTCAATTTAAAAATTAATATTCGATTGAAGCCAGAACTCTTTTCATTTTGTGCCTATAGTAATCATATTCAAATACATACTTAAATAATCTTCCATACTTTTTTCCCAACTGCTTGTCTAGTGTAGAAAGAAAACGTTGGCATGGAGGAATAGTTGGCAAGACTCATTGACCATTAGGTCTCATCTCCTTGCAGTGGACATCACCTGAGAATCTCATCTTCACCAGGGCATGATCTGACCATGTTGGGGAGCCACAGAGACTTCCCCAATTCGAGACTGTATTACCACTGGTCC